GGGCGCAACCGTTGCTCCCTCTTCTTTAAGCATGCTCACATAAAACTTGAATTTTTTCTCTGATGCTTCGGAAAAATTTTTTGCTTTCCTCTTTATCAGGAACTTATGAATTAACTCTCTCTCATTTTTCCTGCTACTTCCTTTTTCTTATTTTTTAATCGCTTATGATTCCTCTACGAATAACTTAATCGCTCAATACCTAACCCAATTCGACAGTTCCAATCCAACCTTGTTATCTTATTTGATTCTTTGATTTTAATGAGCCGAAACTCTTGTAACGTTTTGTAATTTTTACCATCTTGGTTGGAATTTAATCAAAATCAAAGTGATATCTACATAGTTCCCTAATTAACGTATATTTTTTGTTCGCCGAAAGGTACAATGGTTTTTTGCAAGATACTTGAGATTTGTTCTTGTAATTGTGGTGAATTTCGAATAAAAAATTAGTGGCATTTCATGAAAAAGATGAGATCACTTCAATATTAATTTTATTTTCACTACGTATGTTTTTGTTCGGATTTCGTTTCATTCTGGCGCATCTATCTGCATAAACCGAATAAAGTAAGTAAAACAGAAATGTTTTATATTTGCCTTATAAAAAGACCACCCAGTTTTTTATTCAAAATTTCTGGCAAACCCCTAGAGGTACTCCTACTTCTTCCTTTCTGTTCCTTACATCTGAAAAATTATACTCTGTGACCGCCATCGGCATACTTGATACTTCATTCCAAATGTGTAATTCAACAAAAATCTTAGGATACAGAAAAAACTTGCCGCTCTTTCTGTCAATGAATTTCGCCGATTTATTGATTCTAAGTACGTAACTTACCACTTTTATCCGAAAAGGAATGTCTTTGCAAAGAGAAATTTCCGAGTAAGAAAGTACGCGACTCATCCCATGTAGTTATTCTCATAACGCGTGTCTTCGAAACCAGTTAGCGGTGCAGACGACGATGGCGGCGAAGGCGGTGGTGACGGTGGCAGCAGGGGCTGGTGCCACGACCTGCCGCCACCTTGAGTGACTCCATCCCGAGTGCGGTGAGATTCGGTCGCGAGATATGGCCGGACAGCCGATGACATTCATTCATTACGATCCACCTCGACCGCCATCAACCGTACACACAATCGGGTCATCACCTTTATCGCTCAATTCCTTCAATTTTACTCGAAAATTCTCTCGTTTTCAAGCTTTGTCTTTTTCCTTTTCCCTTACCGCACTCATGCTCTTTTTCCATTGTTTTCCCGTATCGTCTCGCATTTGATTCGCTCGTTTATAGGCTGTTACTGTCAATATTTACTCAACGAAGAAGAGAACTCGTTGTGTCTTCTGAGCTCTTCGTACCGTTGAACTCGTCCTCTTCTCCCTCACGTTTTCGCGGCATCGCATTTGCTGAAGATGAGCTCTTCTCTTCGAATTTCTTGCTATGGTTTTCGTTTTCTACGAATACTTTCACTCGATGGGTTTCTTTTTGTGCTGACTTTAGTGTCGAGTGGCACGCTGCTGCGCTAACGCTTTTTCTAGGATTTCATTTGCGCTGCTGCGATGAAAAAGGTCAGACAGTTTGAGACACTTAGTCTGTCTGTCTTTAGAGACGAAACAGAGATTCCCTTTCAGAATATTGATGAGATTCTTTTATCTTTATTATAAATACATGATTTTTCAAGAACTTTTGCATTTCTCGCTTAGAAAGCAAATGGAACCTCATGTGATACTAAAAAAATGTATTTCAAGTAAATTTTGTTGAAGTAAAGTCAGCTTATTGTAGTAGCGGTAGTACCGAACATTCGTCTCATCGAGCTGAGTCTATGTCCGCTTGTAGAATTCCAAATATATTTCTTCTATGACACTTTATAGTCAAATCTCGTAAATTACGCAAGTCCCGCGAAACCCGCAAATTCCGCGACTCCCGCAAAAAATGGTTTTATTTCACGTCATAACTATATGCTTGTTACACCATGAGCTTTTCATCCGATTTTGTCCAATAAAAAATCAACGGGGCTTATCGCAACCATCTCTGCACGCTGTGTTACATCGTTATCTTTTGCAATGTCAGAAGAAAAACCTCAAAACTTGGTGCCAACCTGACACCAGAATGGCACCAACTTCTCACACCTTGCAGCTTGCACCTTCTCATCTCCTATTTCCGGTCCTCACCTTTGAATTTATAGCTTCGCTAAAGACTTTGGGCTATTACATTCTTTGACGAGCTTCATTTACGGCTAGGACGATTCATTTGCTGTTGAATTGCATCGTGCTTGAATGATTTTAGAAGAAGTCTAATGTAGTTCACCTTGTCGTTAATTTGACGATTTGAAGAAGCCGCTCGACATGACGACTTCTTTGCCGATTCAAAGCCTCGTAGATCTTTTTGCCTTGAACATCCGCTTGTGTTCAGCAGCTTCGAACAGAAGCGTACAATTTGATTCCACTTTGATTGGATTCGCCGACTGTTTTCGCTTATCTTCGGTCGAAGAAAAGACGATCGAGCAGTCCTCCGTCTCTCGTTTGCTGCGCTCGAGTAAAGTGCGTTTTTTACTGCTCTCTGGTTAGTGAAATATCCGCGCAAGAAGATTTCTCATTCAGTTTTGATCAGTTACTCAGAACCTGCAAAATTCTGCGCATTTTGGTCCACCGACTTGCGGAGGAAAGACCCTCAAAAGACCTCCAGATCTTGTCAATCAACAAATCTTCAAGCTTATCTACTCTGCTGCAAACTCTATCTCCTCAAAGACCTCTCTAGCTCAACTCCTCGTGTCGTCAAGAATCTCTAGAATCCACATCAAGAACCAGTAATTCTTGATGAATCGATGACATGCCATCACACTGTCGGTTCCTACTTTGGTTGCACGCGGTTCTGCTCTCTGTATCGAAGCAGTTCCTAGTCCCACATGCCCCACACCCGCACAATCGTTTTCCATATTCTGTTCTGTTCTCTTCTGTATCGATTTCCATGGAATTCGTTTTTGTTATAATCTAGTTCTTAAACGGGGGTGTTGTTCAAAAATGCTGGTTTCAACCCCCACGCACTATTCTAACTATCTCTTGCAATAGATTTATTTATGACATGTCGTTTTACGATGTTTGGTTCATTTGAGATCATAAGAAAATTTCAGTTTGTAAATTTCATAATCTTACGGGAAGCTGATTCATCAATTTATGTTTTCTTGATGTGCAGTTAACTTTTTTTTACACATTCATGACTAATTGTTTTCCTATGAATCGTAACACTTTTTCCTTAGGCCTCGGACAGAGTTCACGCGATTTGATCGTCGCGATTCAATCGCTACAAGACAACTGTTACGAGTTCATTTCATGCTGATCAGCTTGCATTTCGGTTGTGATACTTTTCCAGCTCGAAATTTTTGAATGTAAAACGAAAATGAATGAAAATCGCGGCGATTGAATCGCGACGATCAAATCGCGTGAACTCTGTCCGAGGCCTCAGGGCAAAGCTCATTTGCAAAACTACCGTTCTCTAATCTCCTATCCATTTATCAGCCCTACTTCTTTACCTTCTTTTTACCAGTCATGCTTGAAGCACTTAACCTAAACCCTTGAACCATCAAAGAATGAGTAAAGAATTTTTTCTTCGTTTTTTTCCTGTACTAATCACTTTTCGACATTTAACCTCACGAACTCGACCGATCAGTTCAGTTCAGCAAACCTTTGTCGCTTTGCCCGTAATCTGAACCTGCGCCAGTTCCTCGTATGTTGTCAAAACGTATTGTTTTTTATTGTGTCAAACACATGTGTTAGTATGATGGATCGATGCAAACTCGGTGTGAAAGCTAATTATGTTATAATCATCATTTTCCGAGCAGAAAAGAAATGACGGATTACAAATGAGGCCTTTTGGAAGAGAATCATAACCCATATTTTATAATTGTTGCATATTTTTGGGAATGGTTGTGCCTAGATATGATTCTTTGAGGAAATACACATGCATATAACTTTTTCATTTATGTGGTTCTTTGTAATAATGAGATTTTCTTTTGCGTTTGTATTTCATTTATGCCCATCTTTTCATTTCTAAGAGAAATTTTGGAGTTTGGTGCTACCAGGCAAATGTACCGACATTTGGTAAAGTTCAAACTCTACTCCATGTTGAAATGCCATGTAAGCACATTCTCCCCCCTCCCAACAGGGCTGATGACCTTTTCCCCATGTACGAACTCCATCACTCAATCGGCTTTGCCTTGACCAAAATTTTACCAAGAAAAAGGTGAAACAGCATGTTTCAGACGTAATAGGATGGTTATAATCAGTAAGGAGCAAGTCGAAAATACCGGTGCAAACAGAGTGCTCTGCTAGCCTTTGCTTTTCTGATTTATTTCTCTGAAATGATCTTATGTTTATTTTTCTTGACTTAAGATAATTATTCAGCCGTCTTCTACCGCTCTTTTCGTTATTTTGAATTACAGTCTTTGATTGGTGCCTCTTTTCCGAGAAATTCAGCAATTTTCACATCAGTTTAAGAATCCGGAATTTTAATGGTGTGAAAAGAAAAAGGATAGCGTTTGCATGGAAGTTTACCCTTTCTGAATTTTGTGTTTATAATTGTATCTTCTCACTCCTTAAAGAAGTCGAACGACCCAACGATTCCAGTAAACGACTAACTCCACACTTCTATGTGTTTTTATCTATGTACGTTTTTTGTGCTAAATAATGGATTAATCGATCAAATAAATAATCAGAAAATCTCTTTATTGTTTAATTCCTCTTTGCGTTGTTTATTTCACAAATTTCGTGAGATGTAAGCAGTCTTATCATAGAAACCTTCTTAGTGATTTAATGGAACTTATTGTAAACACGAGGAATTAGTTCGAAAAAATACACATCTCTACTCCACTTTGTTCTTCCTTGTATGAAGTAAATGACTTATTTCGCCCACTCCCAAGTGCTTCCAACTTTTTTTGATTTTTAAGTATTGTATTGTATTTTCGCCATTGTTCTGATGGATAGATATCTAGCTATTCGTACTATGTAGATCTTCTATTACAGGTGATGGGTCCATTTTCGAGGGGAACGGCGACGGTTCTCGTCTTCGCGCTCTTCGCCCTCGCAGGTACTAAATCACCTCCGTTTTTGCATCATTTCACATAGCCATTACCCAAGACTTGCTTTTCTCTCTCTCCCCCCCCCCTCGGGCTGCAGCTTCTCGTATGATAATCAGCAGAGATCCTGTGCGATCAAATCTAGTTGCGCTGTGCATTTCGGCCAGCGCCTGGCGCCGAGTGCCTTTCACATTTCCATTCACCCGTGTAAGGGACCTGCTGACTCAGACGACGCAGAGCGGCGCGTCAGATGACCTCAAAAAGAGCAGAAAAACCGCTGCGTTCCATGTCTCATCCAATCGAACGCTCGCACCGTTCCATTCCGAAGGACAAAACACTGTGATCGGTTTGTAGGCGGTGATCTGTGACCACAGCGCGAATGGCCAAAACAAAATATCTCGTGTTATTTGGAACTTGGTAGGCAAACAAAACACTGGAACAACTTACATTTTACTCCAGTCTTTATGTTTTTTTCTTTGAATTATTCACTAGGAATTTTCCTTTTTTGAACTTTCTGATGCGACTATGTCACAGAGCCAACCACACCCTCTTCTAGACTTTTTTCTGGCATGAAAAAAGAACCAAGTGCTCTACTTTCTGGTTGAGCGGTTGAGAGAACTGAGTAATCATTGAATAAATGTTTTATTTGACGGCTATGGTCGGGTAGGCTGATTGTGCAATTGCACACATCCGAGGTACCGGCGATGGATCCAAAACTCTAAATCAGAATTGCATGAAATAAGATCGCGTATCTCTTTGAAGGAATTTATGCCTAAATAACAAGAAAAGCGAAAAAAAATAAGAAGAAAAGACTGGACCTCATAACCAATCCCATCCCGAAAATTGTGCAATTGCACAAAGCAAGTAAACCTATTTGAATGCACATCGTTTTTCAAATTTATTACGGAACTTTGCTTGTATCAGTAATTTTGCGCTGTAAATGAAGCTTCAAAATGTCTATATTTCTTCGATTTTGCGATAATTTACGTGATCAATTAAATTCAATCTGTAATTGCGTCTCAAACAACGAAAAATGTTCGTGGGTTTCCACTAATATGGAAATGGTCGAAAGTGCAACCGTTCCATACTGGTTTTAAAACTGATCTCCTCCTCATTATAGCATCATTGCGAGTACGAAGAGAAACGAGGGGTACCGAGAGCCTGTTGACAGTGGAATGGGAAGGAATACAGACAGGTAAGTTTTGCTGACATTTTTATGACCTATCTGTTTCACAGGAACCCTTTATTCAGGCGACCACCCCGACACGGATGTGAAAGGTTTTCTGGTAGAATACCGTGCCGAAAAGGACAAACATTGGATGGTCCATTCGGGCATTATCCCCTACAAAGGACCGAATCACCAGTACCGAGTGCAGGTTTGTACCTCGTTCCACCTACACCGATTAAGGTGGTGATTTTTCCTTTGCCTTAGAGAGACCAGTTTCATTCATGGCCGTATATGTGTAAGTCCGGGGTGATTACGCACATTGTTTACCAACCATTACTTCGCCTACTTTTCGTGGAACGTGTGTGTGTGGGAGCCGCTTTTTGTGGCCCACGTACGCAAATGTCTGACACACAGAAAGCACTTTTCAGATTCCCAAGCTACCCACTGGAGTTGCTTACTTTGTTCGCATCAAAGTGCTCGGCGCTCACAACGAGATCCTCGTCGAGACCGCGGAGATTCGAGCCCGGAACGAAATCGTGTCCATCAAGTGCGAAAACGGTAAATCTACTGAATTACTAATTGCTTTGTGATGAATTCATGCGACAAGGCCTGTCAGTATCCGGTATTTCTGGAACCAAAAGAAAAACATGCGCAACCTAATTTGTAGCAACTTCTTTTGCGGGAAGAAAAATTGGATTGATGTTTGCGTCCTACTTTGATGCAAAAGGGAGGAATAATTAGGCATTATCAATGATCAATTTTTGCACGAAAAGATCTTTGCTAGGCAATTTTTATTACAAAGAAGTAGCAGAACAGCAGTAGAATATTCTAAATTCAAAGAGGAGCAGGATGTAGTAACTACAAAAGTTTATTTTTCATTTCATGAGAAGAGGTACTGAAAAAAAATTCACAGAACTCATAAAATTTATCTCTCCTTGTCTAGCCAGACTATCATTCTGTACTTGGATACCCGTACACCTTTTTGCAAAAACTGAATTTCTGGTCTCAACCCGTGAGATTAAAGCGGTCAGAATAAAGTTACCTTACTAATAAGTTCAAGTGATTAGCCGTGTTGTCTCTTCTTACAATTCGACCTCAATAAACTGGAATTGTATAGGGTTTATCGAGACGGATTTCACAATCATAGGCGGTACTTGAATTCCCCTTTTATTTTCGTAACTTGGGACAGCAAGCCCTTTTCTCAATAAATCCCATATTAATAACATAATGCATTTTATTTTCATCCATTCTTGAGAAAGTTTGTTTTACGAAGGCTTTTTGAGTCAAAGAGGATTAACAATAGGACCTTCACCATAATAATTTTGCATAAATCTACTTTCACAACACTTTGCTTAGCAAAGTCAAGCAAATTAGAGAATAAAAAGTCAGACAGAATTTCACATTTTTCAATCCCATAATCGCTAGTGCACCAAGATACACAAGGAAGATTCAAAAGTACTTGGGAAATGTAGAAATTACAGAATTTTATTATGTTTTTGCTTTCATATTCGAGAAAATAGGCAATCAGTATCTGAATGCGCTGTAGAATGTCCTCTCATCCCATTCGAATTGTGAAAAATGTGATGCGCCTTTGCGAGTGAGGTGTGAATTTTGACAACCACCCAGAGAATCCTAAAGCCTTTTCTGCCAAAAAATCCTTGCAAAGGTGCGAATCGAAGAGCCTCGATCTCAAGCGCTCTGGTGCTCAAGCACTTAGGGCTCCATGTGTATCGATCCTCTCCGAGTTTTCCAGAGCCTGAAGAGCTCAACAAACAGTCAAGCAACAGGGCAATTGTTTCAGAGGACACTAAAGAACTGAAATTCTACAAGCACCACTCGACCGCTCGTAGTGTGCGGTAGAAGTAGTTCCGGGAACGATCCTTGCAACTTGCTACAGCCCTATCGCATTAGGGTTTTTGCTATTGTACGCTTTTGATGGGGATTTCGGTAGCGACGTGATCCAGTTTGAAAGAAAAAGAGTCGGGCAGGATCTTATTACAAGTTATTTTGTCTCTTTTTGAAAGTTATGAGTAGGTGAGAGGAATCAAGCAAACTACGAATAGCGCAACAGGTCGGCGTGAATTATTATATTTTTTCAAAATTTTTGCATCCTTAGAACCTAAAAAAATTATGAGTTATCCAGAATTTCGATTTGAAACAAACTTGATGAATACCTGAGTAGTCGCTGAATGCTTTGTACAAAAGTTTATTCGATTTTTGAACTTTCTCAAAATTCCGAGAATATTCTATCTATCTAGATTGTTGTAGATTGTATTCATTTACTTTACGATTTTTGAGAAAATTTTGAGAAGAAGAGCTAATACTCCGACATTTTGTCACTAATAAACACGATAAGACGGAAGAATCATATGCAATCGGTTTTTTCAAGAGTTAGGAACTTACGTTTTACCAAATGAACCAGAATAGCGATAAACTACTCCAATTGATTGTTCTTCATTCCATCATCAAAATTAAGCCTTCTCACTCAAACGTTACCCTTTTTTCACGCTCGAAGGCATTCTTACAATCTTCTTCATTTGGAAATCGAAAAAAACTCCCCAATGATAGTCGGTCACACACATTCTTCCTTGTTTTTTTTATCATTTCTACATTCGACTTCCTTCGTAAATAATTCCATTAAGAACAAAGAAGCTTGTTCTTGCTTGTGCAGAAGCTGAAGGGGCAGCTATCGGTGTATTTTTTAAGGTTTTGAAGAAGGAAAAATTGGTGACTTCTGCAATTTTCGCAACGAAATAAGAGCAAAGCAAAACTATAGATTTATTTGTAAAGCTTAGAGCGCTCATCGTTCCAAGCAAATAAATATGCAGCATGAAAAATCGTAGAATTGCCTGCTGATGGTTTATGAGCCATAAAATGGCGAAGAAACCAGCAAAAAGTCTCTACTTTTCTCAATCGACGTGCCAAGCAAAGCTTTGATCGATGATTTTAGATAAGTAAAGCCTAGGGTTTAAAATTGCAGAAGTAAAACATTTCATAAAAAACTGAAAAAAATTCCTCAAGATAATTAAAAGAAAGATATCCATATTTCCATTCTTTTTTCACTGCACATTGATCAGATGAGATGATCTACTTGATACTATAATATTAGGTTGAACCGAAAGTTCGTTCGCATCATTTTCAAAAAATCATAACTTCCTTCCGTCACGACCATGTTGCGCAGTTTAAATTTTATTAGAAAGCGTAAAGGACGTAGTTTCCAAAAATCCCTTATGAATTTACGGCATATTCAGATTGCAGAGATAAAAATGAAGGAACGAAAACATCCGAAATTCAGTATTTTCGATGATTTTCGATAAACAATTCAAAAATCTAGAAACTGCGCGATAAAATCCAGGAAACCCATTATCCTAATTTTTCTTATATTCGATTACTAACTGAGTTAAGTTTGTGCTGATCGAGCTCTTCTTTCAAAAGTTATGATTTTTTGAAAAAAATTCCGAAAAATCACTTTCCTAAGAATTCCTAAGAAAGTGATCTTTCGGAATTTTTTTCAAAAAATCATAACTTTTGAAAGAAGAACTTGATCAGCACAAACTTAATTCAGTTAGTAATCAAATATAAGAAAAATTAGGATAATGGCTTTTCTGGATTTTATCGCGCAGTTTCTAGATTTTTAGAATTGTTTCTCAAAAATTCCGAATTTCGGATGTTTTCGTTCTTTCATTTTTATCTCTGCAATCTGAACATGCTGGAAAGTCGCCAGGGGGACTTTGGAAACTACATGCTTTACGATTTCTAATAAAATTTAAGCTGCGCAAAATTGTCGTGACGGAAAGAAGTTATGATTTTTTGAAAATAGTGCGAACGAACTTTCGGTTCAACCTAATACTTTTGACGGAGAAGAAATAGTGATAAAATGCTATAAACTTTCATGTATTGCTCATCCTACATTGAAACGACCTTATAACATTTGTTAACGGTTCCAATGAGAGCCTAGTTATTTTTTTTGCATTTAGAACTTCCGGGTAGTGATAATCATTAGCAGCACTTTCTGGCATCTTTATTGGATCACTAAGCACCTTTTCAAATCTGATTATTCTTTGTGCTAGATTCAGCAAGGAATCTTATAAGTTCACAAGGAATAGTCCAAAGATAATCGAGAATATCATAGTATGAAAGATAGTAGATTGTAAGTTGTAGATGTATTTAGTATCTAATTTCATTAATATTCTATTAATTCCAGCTATTCTATATATAATCTATTAATTCCAAATCTTATCCAATTTTTCCATTCTTTTTCCTTCAACCATTAACCATTAACCACGAAATAGTTATACCGTGTAACTTCCGCACTCGATTTTCAATACGCTATTTTTCCAGGAGTCTGCTTTGCAATGAAAAAACTTTCGAAAAAATGTTTGCAAAAAGTGTAAAAGGTGTCTGCCAAAATTCCCCTTTTTTGTTACTTTGAGAATGTTTCTATTTTCTTTCATATGTTTGCTGCAAGATATTCATAAAAACTATATCAATTAAGCGTTTCATAAATTGCAAATAAAAAAGTATTCAGCAACATCTTCGCGAGTTTTATATGGCTTTGACTTTTTACGGCTGATTCCCACGTTGAAATGTGTTAACAGAATTCCAAATCTTATCAAATTTTTCCGTTCTTTTTTTCCCTCAAATGTCTTGCGACCTTCTTCAAGCTAGTTTCTTTCTGCAACATCCAATCAGCCCAATTTCGTAGTGATTTCATCCTGCTCTCTTAGAGATTCGGACAAATTATGCTGCGCACTGCGCAATAATTGTCACATTCAATCAGTGTCTTTCATTAATGTCGAGCGCTGGTATTTTTCTATCAGTTCGGGGATAGTGAGATATATCAAAAATTCTGCCGAAGAGATAGCTTTGCAGACGATTTGACTGCACCAAGGCATTTGGAAGTTACACATGAGGGACAGTATTCGCTCGCAATCAAGTGGGATGCTCCTGAGTGTGGTTCGATTGGAGAATATCAGGTAGGGGATAGGGTAAGGTAGTCCATGGGAATGATGTGGATTATGTGATGTTTAGGTTGAACTCATCGGTGAGGAGTCACCGTTCGATGTACATCGTCAGACGGTCACGCAACCTCATGTCTCTGTCACAAATCTTCTGCCATCCACCAGCTACACAGTCAAGTAAGTTACTTTGAACGGTGATCTCAAATTCGCTTTCGAAATTTGCTAAAAGATCATTCTGAAGAAGTTATGAAGAGTTTTTCCTAGCAGCTTGTCAGGCACATTTGAGTAGAGGGCCTGTCGCGTGAGGAAGAAGCGCGTTGTGGTTTAGTGGTTAGTGGTTTAGCCTGTGGAGCAGAACGTCACAGGTTCTATTCCCCTTAAAGACAGTTCTTTGCATGATTGTTTGGCATTTTTTGAAATACATGTGCACATTGGAGGTAACGGCCCAGAGACAATATATAACAATTATATCCTAAATTTGGCCACTATGATTAAACTTCGCTTGTTGAATTCACCATTTTTTTCTTATGGATTATACTTCCTGTCAGGATCCGCGCAGTAGATCGTCAGCGCAGAATCGGACCATGGAATGCCGATCTCCTTCAAGCAAAAACCAAAGGAAATCGTGAGTTTCCCCTAACTTATTTACTCTCTTCTTTACCCTTCCCTTACAGCTGTGCCCGTTTCCAACCGAATTCGTCTTGTATACAAAACTGACTCTGATCTCCGTATATCATGGGATCCCATAGACGACGAACGAGCACAACATTACGAGGTACATTTAGCACTTTTAAAGTCTTCTGAGACCTTCACTTACAACAACAGCAATACCAGGTGATGGCAGTCGAAGTGTTGCCAGAATCACGACGTGTTGAACGAGCTCGTGTTCCACCTTATGTGTCAGGACATACATTAGCTGGATTGCTACCAGGCACTAAATATCTGATTGGTGTTGTGGCTTTCGTCGATCATGAGCCAAAACAGGTTGGTAGGGTTTCTAATGGGCTACTAATAAACCTGGGATGATTGGGTTACTCGCAGAAGATGTGTGAAGCCCATAAACGGGGAGTATGGGTTCCCAACGGAAATGGAAATCCTTTGAAAAACTTGTTACATTCCTCATAACGGTTAATGAAACGGAAGAACACTCCAGTCCTCAAACGACATCGTAAATCTTTTATAATGAACTTAGGCTTAGCCTCTAGGTAAAACTTTAGCCCTAGAAATTCGCAAGCTACTACAAATTAATCACATAAAATCTTGGAGGCATCCCGTGTTACCGACCGTTTCGCTGGGGCTCTTCCATGCGGGACCGCCGCCGCGCGCGACACTCCCTTTTGTCCGAGCAGGAGAATAGCGCTTCGCGACGTGTTTAGATAACTACGTAGGGATCTAGCAGATACGGTCGTGCAAACGGCCTTCTCCCTATGAAACGACTAAATGTGGCAAATTAAATGGCAAATTTCTCCACAAGAAAAACCGTACCCTAGAGGACTTACATTTGTAAATACTACAGGTTTACAATCTCGAAGCCGAAACTGGCCATACATCCGATATGGAAAGCTGGGCCGAAAAGCCACAAGTCATCGATGATGGCAGCCGACACTTTACCATTCGCTGGCAACTTCCTCCCGTTGGGAGAGGTATCAAAAAGTTCGTGGTGGAGTACAAACTACCCAATGAGACATCATGGAGGACCACAGAGATCACGGTTAGCCTCATTTCTATGTGATTCTTGAGCCACAACTGAAGCTATGTTTTTAGGACGCAGAAAAAGGAATGAATGAATTCAGTATCATGTTACCAAGCTTGGCAGATGCATCGCTTTACACTGTTCGAGTTGTAGCAATCGGACAGAATGAAGAGGTGATCAATAAACTACTATTCATTGTAGAAAATGGCCGTAACTAGTGTGGATTAACGCTTATTGATATCTCGATAATTTGTGTACGGTAACAGATGGTCACCCGAACCGATGAGGTTACGGTAGGAGCGGCAGCAGCAAACGCGTGCGTTGGCCCTGCTGGAGTTCCTGAAGATGTAAGTCGTTTTTATATTTGTCCTGAGCCAAATCTGACGAAAAAGAGGGTTACTATGAAGGGTCTTCAGGCCTGAGGCTGTAAATCCAAAGAAATGTAGTTGATAGTACTTTTTTTTATCAAAAAAGTGCAAAATGCTTAGAATACATTCTTTACGGAGATTTTGTGCCAGTTCTGTCTCTTTTGTTGAACCTCAACCTTTCTTATCATTACTGTCATTACTGTAAACTTTTAAAAATATTCTAGGTCGCCCTAGATTCAGCGGAACCAACTGTCTTGCGGTTTACCTGGCTCAAACCCAACTGCGACGAGAGCGTTGCTCCTATTGACGGCTACGAATACTTGGTAAGTAACCGTCTGGCAGATTACCAGATTTTTAGCTTGGAGTTAACTGGCATTAATTCAAGATCCACGAAGTCGACCGGCAACCTCCTCCCGCCTCGTATGTGGGTGGCACAGCGGTCGCTATTCCCGATCTTCGACCATCTACCAAATACGCGTTCCGAGTTAGGTCAAGAAATGCCAATGGACATTCTCCGTGGAGCGAGACTATCCATGTCGCCACCGAAGCTGAAGGAGCAGCGTTGACTGGTATGTCTAGAACTCAGTTGGAATACTAGCCGACTTCTAATCTCGCTACTAACATTTTTTGGGTTCGCTAAGTGCGCTCAATCTTGTTTTTTTCCAATCCTCTTCGAAATAATCCCAGATCTTACCAAACTAATCAACACTAATAGCCATGTGCAAATCTGGAAAAGGAGCAAACGTCAGGCGAAGCACTCCATAACAGGTACTTCTCCGATCTTAACCTACACTAACGGGCTTACGGTGGATGACATCTGCTTCAGATGGAAATAACTTTTACAAAGTCCGTGTCGTACTGTCGCCACCGAAGGTGTACCTCGTTTGGACTCCACTATTAGAGCACATTAACCGCGTTGCGTATTTCAAGTACGTGAATTTCCGTTTCGCCTGCGCCATCCCGACTCACATGGCGACATCGACGGTACTAACAGCACCATTCAGCCTTACAGAGTCGCCTATAAGGAGCGAGCGGGCACCAAATGGTCGAGGGTGGTCGGACCTCCGAACCGATTTCGCTGCCCCGGAGATGTCGGCGCCGATGCCTTCGACTTCTGTTTCCCGCTAGAACATCTCTTCTTTGGCGTGCACTACTTGAGCAGAGTAATCAGCTGAAAAATAACAAATTCTACCCACAAAAGAGACCTTTAGGTCTCCTACAATCTTACCAATGGAGACGTAGTGGACGGAGGAAGCACTCTTCACTTTTCTCTCTTACAATTGGGTATACTAACCTTGGCATGCATTAACCCTTATTGCCCTGTACATCTTGTCAACGCCGTGCTAGTGCCGTATCAGAACTATGTGAATGCGCCCTATATTGAACTATCGAGAATTCGGTACGACACTAGCACAACGCTGGCCACGCAACTCTGACGCTTCCTCAAAAATATTCAGGCAAATGTGGGAAACGGGATTTCTTTGGTAGATACTGACTGGGAAGCCATAGCTAAGTCATTTTCCACACTGCAGATCGTATGATCCATTCGTGGCCGAGAAATGCAACTCTTAACTTCAGGCCATACCGTAATTTTTTCAAGCGTACCAATCAACGCCCTTACGTAAGAAAGCGATCTGGGCTCAAGTTTCGAGTTTTATTTCTCAGCCACAAATGATGACAATTTAGATAGGATCTCCCAGTCATTTTCTACTAAGAAATCGGTTTCCCAAACTTTTCTTGACACTGCCTTTAACTTCCTGCTAACTCAAAACTGTAATGCCTTTTAACGAGTTGCATGCTCTAGCTTGTATTTGCTCTCCGCTTCCCTTGAGTTTAAATTTCCCTCCCAAAATAGGCTCAGACCTCTCCTTCCAGAAGGAGTACAACAACATCCACGTTTCCAAGTTACTATCACACAACCCCGAATCGAGCAGCAAGGACATCGCAATGATGCTTACTGGTCCACCACTGGAGATACCTCGCAATTGCTTGGCTACCAGGTAATTTCGAATTTTTCTATCAGAATTAAACTAAGAAATGATTCCCCTTTTAGGTTGACATTCGACGCGACGGAGACCGTGACTGGCATGAGCATGGATCCCTGATCCGCTCAGAACCATCCCAGGTCCACTTCCGTCAATCCTTAGGGACTGTACCGGTTGCTACTTACTACTTGAGAGTTAGAGCTGTGGACAGTAGTATGACTACGGTAGCTACGTCTCCCAGCACTAGTTTCTCGGTTTCTTGTCAAGGTGAGCATTCTGGTAGGCATTGAATTTCGACAAAATCAGATTTGAAAGTTGGAGAAAATCCCTTAGGAGATTTTTGCGTTTTTCTGGCTAGTGCTGATTTTAGAAAATGACAATAGGCATTGTTTTTGGTGAAAAACTAATGTTTTTGTCAATAAACCTGTTTTGAAATAGGATTGAAAAAAAATGAAATTGATTGAAATATTTTCATTGTACAAGTCATCATCGATCTAGGCAAAAACAAATTACTTGTGGATGAATCTTGAGCATTTGGAGTCAAAAGATCAGTTGAAGTCTTTTTGATATCATAGTATCATTTTTATAATTTTATTGCCTAAATAATAATTCACAGCTCCACCTTCGCCTGAAAATGTTCGTCTCGATCGTGTATCGGATGACTACGTCCGTATGTCATGGACTTTCCCTAATGAGGATCCAGCTTGCCAAACCTTCTTCTTCATCACTGGTGTACAGGCAAGCTCTCACTGGAAGATTTAGGTCCGGCTATCAGAGAAAAACTAAAAATTCCTATTTTCAGAATGGTGTCCCTATCAACGAAAGAGTGCCAGGATCTGAACGTAGTTACGATATCAAAGGTCCAGCCAGAGGAGATTGGCAAGTGGAGGTAACGCAATTTTTGGAAAAATTCCAACAGAGACCAACATATTTTTCCTCTTAAGGTCCGTGCAGTGAATTCAGAAGGATCAGGACCATCTTCGAGAGAAGCTGTTTTTACTAGCGCTCAGCAATGTGAGTGTGAAGGGCAATGTGAGCAACAGAGTCGTAACATCTCTACTTTTACGTAGAGTTACACGGCTCATTAGGGAAGCCATGTACACGTAGCTTAGAAATTGTAGATTTAGTTTGTTAGGTGTGCATTTGCACCACAAATACCATAAAAGACACAAAATCAGATTAGAGAACCGTAGTTTCCATATCTACAGAACTATTCAAATGTACTCAATCATGCATGAAATCCAGACAAACTTAGTGCCTTGGTTTCTCACGTAAAAAGAGCTCCCGCACGAATTCGACTCGAAACTTTCGTCCAGACCGTACTCCACTGACTGTCTTGCTCCCAAAAGTACGGTCTGGGCGAGACTTTAGAATCAATTTTGTTGGCCAGAAGTGCATTAGATGACCTGCCTAGTGGGCATGGGCTTAGATAATGCCTCCAGTTGGTATTTTTTTACATCTGAACAGACCCTGCATTAGCAGGATAAGTCAATTTTAAATTCTGTTTACGTCAAATCGTCCATTCGAACACAAGCCTTCAACTATATGTAGTTAGATTAAAGCAGTCCTACTCTGGTCTCACCACCTTGCCGAGTTCGTTTCCATCCTAGAATTCTGGCAAATGCTCTTTTTGTCGATGTTTAGCCCATAAGAAGCGTCATCATCGCAGTGTTTGCGATCCACGAACGGATTTTTGGTGTCGTACGAATGGAAAATACGAGTCAGCATATCTTCATTTAGAAGCTGGAGGTAGCGTGTGTGAAAATCGTAGAAGCCCCTAATAATCTCTCTTAGCGCTGTGCAGTATACTTTTACTACTACTACCGCTCCTACTCAATTTTCACTGTCCACCCCTTCAACCTAAAACCAAATCCTGTTTTTTTTCACTACTATAGTTTGTTTTTAGCATAACCTGTTTTGAAGTGCTATACTTTTACTTACTAACCGTAGCATGGAGTATGTCTGTCACAAAGTGGTTTGCTCAACAGACTTGTTTTAGCGCTTGTCTCTGCCCCAAGGGTAACAGCCCGGGGAAATGATTTGCACGTTGAGTGGAGGAGCGAAGGTGATGGCAGGGGTGTTTTCGGCTATCGCCTTCAGTTCCGAAGTGAAAGTTCTGGATGGAATCCGTATGGGTAGGTTTTGGGAATTCCACAAGTTCAAAAAAAAGGAATCGGGTTTCTTTGTTCCAGCCAAGTTGTGCCCTACGTTGGGGACAATCAAGAATATTCACAGATTTTGACTGGACTTCAAAAGGGACATACCTATTCCGTACACATACAGGTAGGTCAAAAAAATTTCCAGAAGCTTTTTCAAAATTTTTTAAGCTAAAGTGGAGCAGATTTGGGTTAACGGATTTCTACAGAATAAAAAGCCTGCTTGTCGTTCCATTAGAAAGTCTCTGTCGATTTTCAGATTTTTCCAGCAGCTAAAAAATGTCCTCAAAATACAGTAAATCATTTGATCAGTGAAACACCTCTCCCCCTAGTTTTTTGCCCCATTAGAGAACCTCTGTTGATCTCCAGTCCATTTAAGGAATAGATTTTTCTAAAAAAAGAAAAGCACTGTTCATTTTCCCATCATGGAGCAGATTTCCTTGACATTTCCATTTCAAATGTTCAACTTTAGGTCTTGGATCGAAACTCCTATGTAATGTATGTGAGTCCCGAGGCATCAGCTAAAAGCGTCTGTACCGGTTCGTCAATCTCCCAATTTTTTAGCCGCTTCCCAAATCTTAATGGATCTCGTTAAGCTCCCTCACATCCGCCTTCACATCTTCAAGTCCAAGCACCGGATGCTTCCCACGTCCGTGTTCATTGGGCAGTTCCAGCGCAAAGCACTTGGGGATGTGCAGATATTTCGTACGAGATCGAGGTACTGTAAGACTAGTTCGAGGGCTGAATTCTAGTCAAAAAAAAATTCTGGATTTCAGGCTGTTGAACCCCGTGGCGTTCAGCCTGTAACCGTAGCTGGAAGTCAAACAAACCACATCTTCGCAAGTCAGCCGAACCAGCAATGGTCGGCATACTTCGTATCCCAGTAGTATCTTTTTCTAATCCGAATTTCCAGGTCTGTGCGCATCCGAGCTGTAAACTCAGCTGGACATTCACCCTGGACGCCCACAGCGGAAGTGCGAACTCCTCCTGGAGGGGAACTGATCGTTGGTCCAAATATCGCATACAGGTAAGCTTTTTTGGCAGAGTAAAAACTTCTGAAGAGTATTTATGCCACTCGGTTATAGGCAGGGCAAACCCATCATAACGTGGCAAGTACGAGAGAATGTCGAAGATTTGATTGAAAGCTTTGTTCTCGAATGGAAAGCAATAAATGAGAGAGACTGGCGGCAGCATAGGAACCCGGTAAGTAGTCACAATGCTTTTTTGTCATTCCCTTACTTTGAATCAAAAAATTCCATCATAGATTCCCTTCTCTGGGTGGCAAAGACCCTACTCTGTTGACCTCGGAGAACTACCCAAAGGTCACACATACCAGGTAAACCTTTACCAGTCCCCTAGATCCTACCTAAACCCTTTCTTCCACAGGTCCGAATTGTCGTCAGAGACATGAATCGTGGCATTGCTTTCACGTCTCCAGTTGTGCAAGTACAAACCCAGTCCGCCTGTCAAACTCCCCGTCGAGCCCCTACGAATCTGCAAGTGTCCCCTATTGGGCCCACACAGATTAGGCTCACCTGGGCTCCATTGCATGAAAGCGAGTGGAACTGTGATCGACTCTGGTACATCGTGAAGTACAGCACACCTAAAAATCAAGGATTCAAAAACTTGACCCAAGGAGAGAATTCTGTGGTATTCGAGTCGGATCCTTATACTAAGTGGGTAACCTTACCCATATTTGCTAACCTACCAGTTCAAATTCTGACAAATTCAATTTAGATGGAACTTCGAAGTACAGGCTGCCAATCCTGCTGGAGAGACGGCATGGTCACGAACTGAAACAGCGCAGACTCAGGTACGATTATTCACACTTCCATACTTTGCTTCTTCTTAAATTGACCAAACTAAAAAATTTTCAGGATGCTTCTCCGGGACCTGTACAAGATCTTCGCGTTCAGGTCGTTGGACCAGATAGTCTGCAAGTCAGTTGGAGACCTCCCATCAATCCCAACGGCTTGATTACTCATTATGAAGTGACTTATCACCTGATCAGCAAGTAAGCGTCTTTCTCTTTTCTTTGGACTAATTTTTCAAAAAATATGTTCAAGGGGAATGTGCGATCAACAACAAGAGATGCCAAGAACGATTTCTGTAACAACACCACATCATGTCATCACCGGGCTCCATCCTCATTCGAGATACAGGTATAAGGAATAATACAATTTTGTAAAAAGTTTATTAAAAAATTCATCAGAAATGATGTTTTGGTCTTACGAGTGACAAAGCGTTTGTAAAAGCGCATGCCTCAAAAATGTTCGTTTTCGGTGAAAAACCTTTGAAAAAAATATACACCTTACAGAAAAGGACATGAACTTCTGAACACTTCTCAAGTTAGAAAACTCCTATGTTCTAGGGTTTCTGTTGCCGCAAGAACTACCATAGCCGGCGAACGAGTGTCGCACGAAGCTCAGACCGATCAGTCCGTTCCATCTGCTCCGCCTGTTTATCTCAGAGTGGAAGAAGCTAAAGAATCTGATGCCAGCATCAGCTGGCAAGCACCTCCTTGTCTTCTGGTAATTTTCGAATGCTCCCCTGCCTCGGCCCAGTGAAAGCCAAGAACTCAACTTTCCAGACGAACGGAGAGATCACTGAGTATGAGTACGAGGTCACCCCAACCGATCGCCGGGCTGCTCAGCAGAGAATTGCGAACATTGTGCGCGGAACTCGGACCCAAATCACAAATCTTCAGCCATATACTCGCTATAATGTGAAGGTAAGCTATTGAAACCATTTCGAGGTCTGTAAAATAATCCATTGCTCTAGGTTCGAGCTTATACCGGTCGTGGACCTGGCCCATGGTCTCCAGAAGTAGCATTCCAGACCGCAGCTGCACAGACCGTTACTGTACGTCTTGGTATTTATTCCAAGTTATTGTGGTGTTAACCAACTTTTTTAGCCCCCACCATTCGTGAGAGTGATCAACACTGGAGCTGATAATGCTCATCTGGTATGGCAATCGGCTGATGCTGGCGGTGGTTATGTTGACAAGTACAAGTGCAGATATTCACCAGTAGGCACTCAACAGTATCAGGTGAGAAAACTTTTTTCTTTTCCTTTTTTTAGTAAAGAATTATATTTGCAGGAGCGGCAATTCCCAGCAGTCAGTCCATGCCAGCCAAGAGTGCTAGAACGACAACAACTGCCGGTTACACCACCTGGGACACGATTGCATTGTGGAAGGATTGATAACCTGAAACCGGAGCATACCTATGACTTCCAAGTCCGTTTCCTTCTACAAATCCTGCCCATCTCGGAATACCTACCTTTATTCAGGTCGCAGCCCACGTTAGAGATGGCGGTTGGTCACAGTGGTCCCAGCCAGAAAGAACCAGGGTCACCGATGAAGCCGTACAAATCCTGACCATCGACAAAATCGGTGGTACGGAGAGCTCGCTGGCCATCTCATGGACGGTGAGACCGACAGACCGTAACCGTGTGTCATCGTTCCGTCTCCATATCGAGCCTGTCGATGGTTCATCGAGGCCCCAAACATTCAATGTTGATCGGGCGACTTATCAGTACAGGTAAAATACACTTCAAGTATCTACAGTATTCCAAAATCAGCAAAAAAATCTAAAGGATTTGATCCTCTAATTCAGAGTTGATGGTCTTCGACCTCGTACCCAATACAATGTGACGGTACAAGCAGCCACAGATACGGAACTTTGTGGGGTTGGTAAACTCCCTTACCCTTCCGATTCTAGCTTGACGATTTAAAATCCGAAAATTTCAGGGTACAACAGTAACCATGTGGACAGACGCTGCCCCATTGACAGCACTAGCCATCGCACCTCGTGTCATTGCTGAAGAAGCCACTTCAGTCACAATCGAATGGGATAGCAGAAATCGCGAAGCTGGCGGTTTCATCGTCGAGTATCGCCTAGAAGGCGGTGCCTGGCAGCAGTACCCCCGTCGTATACCGGCTCATCCATCGCAAACGACGTACACCGCCACCGTCGACGGATTACCCACCAACAACGTTGTGGACCTCAGAGTTAGGGTTACCTCGCAGCAGAATGAGCAGTCGAATCCGTCACCGGAAGTGCGAGCGCGTACCAAGTGCAGTCCTCCAGCGAATCCACCACAGGTACAAAAAAATTCGACAGTTTAAGGGCTGTTTTATAATACATCCCAGGGCATCCGTGTCGATGCTCCATCTACCAACGAAGTACGCGTATCATGGTCTCGACCAGCTAAAGATACCTGGATGTGTGATCAGATGAATGTTGAGATTAGCTATCGCATCGGAAACGAACCTGAAAAGGTAGGATTAGATGTGTGGACATTTGCGGAGTATCTGATTGTGAATTCCTCCATTGCAGATCCTACCTGTTCCTGGAGATCAGACCGAGTACACCTTCCCAGCTGAACCTAACCAACGTTGGGTGATCAAGCTGAGAGCCACAAATCAAGTTGGATCAAGGTCAATTTCTCTATGAGATGTAGTTATACTTTATCATATCCCCCGTTATTCAGTCGCTGGTCTGCTGAACAAGCGGTGACAACTCGTCAAGGAGCACCCGGATCCGTGCGCGACTTGCGCGTCAAGGCGCTATCCCCCAACGAAGTGCATGTGCAATGGCTAGCACCACTTGTACAAAGAGGAACGATTGTCGGTTATGACATCAGCTACAGGTATGTTCCTATAAAACACTATTTGAAGGGGCGGAGCAAGGCAGACCTATTCTTAGGGTGAAAAAAGTATAAAATCTGATGGACTTACATTTTTCCAGACTCAAACATCGTCTCGCATGCCCAGAAGAGGAACCCCGCGATGTGTCCCGAGATTTTGTTACCGTCTACAACCATAAAGATCTTGACTACACCATCACGGGTCTTCTACCGTACTCCCTCTATGAGGTTGGTTACTCCTTCTAACCCCAAAAATTTATACCAGTATTCCTTTGTAGGTTCGTGTTCGTGCTCGTACGACTGAACTTGGTCCGGAAGAGATGAAGGAAGTTTCAACGGAGCAGCAGCCACCATCGTCACCACCCCTAAATCTGGAACTAACCTATGCCTTGGAACGTTCGTTGTCATTCCAGTGGGAGCCGGTGGATTGCTCACAGCGACATGGCCACATTGTCAATTATGAGTATGAGATTCTTGGTCAAGTGAGTGCTCTAATTTTTCCACTTTTTGTCATTGCAGAACGTTTTAATCTTTTAGGATGACTGGGCTAAACTCGAACGTCAAATTGCCAACACTTCCGACACGAAGATTACCATCGATGGCCTAACACCCTACACTAAATACGTGATGCGTGTCAGAGCTTACAACAGCATTGGAGGAGGCCCGAACACTGAAAACCTGGATGCAATGACATCCAAAGCCAGTGCTCCTCTACCACCACAAGATCTGGTCGTTGCCCAGGAAGGAACTGACTTCTTCATGGTGTCATGGTTGCCACCTTATCCACCTTACGGACCTCATGACGCTTATAAAATTCGTTATCAACTTTTGGGTGCAGATAAATGGATCGAGAAGCAGCATGGAGTTAAGGATCCAGAGCTGCAATGTCCATCGGAAAGTCCAAGGTGGGTTTTAAAAACCTTGACAAAGAAAAGAACTTGAAAAAAAAACTATGAAAACGAGCGACATTTTGCTTTATTAAAAAGAGAGACTCTGCGATATTTAGATTTTGCTATAACGTTACCGGACTTGAACCAGGAAATCAGTACAAGGTCCAAGTTGCCACCAGAATCGAAGGAGGTACTCTACCCTGCTTGAGGTTTTTACAATCTAATCAAGATAACCTCAACACTTCTAGGAAGCTACGGTCCATGGTCATCTCTGGTCATCGCCAACACCCTACAGATCCTTCCAGATGCTCCACGAGCCATTCATCTGATTGAGAAGACCGACCACTCTCTTCACATCCGCTGGGTACCTCCAATCGACCCCAAGGGCCACATCAGCCAATATCGCGTCTCAATCGTCTCCCTTGATGATCCCAGAGATGAGAGACAAAGTCACCTCGTTGATCACCCAACTCTCACTTACCTGTTTGACAATCTCAAGCCAGAAACCTCCTACAATGTATCCATCGCAGCTGGATCAAAGCGTGGCTTCGGAAGAGAAATTTGGACCCGCTATTCGACTGATCACTTTGTCATTCCGATTGTTGTCTCTGCTCCTACTGTCACACCAGATGGCGCTTCTGCGCTTGACGTGCAGTGGAATGGAGTCTCGGACTCGCAGAACAGAGTGAAGGGATATATCATTGAAATTAGGAACTCAGATACTCCAGTCTGGCAAGAGATTGGTGGTGTTATCCCACATGATGCAGTGAAGAGGACATATCTCAAGAAGTTGACTGGTCTCGATTCTGACACCTTGTACTTCGTTCGAGTCAAGGTTGTCGATGACAAGCAGCGCGTAGGTGGTGCATCTCCTGAAGCTCAAGGTCGAACTGGTTGTGCTCCTCCGACGTCCCCACCTTCGAATGTCAACCTTGCATCGCCTTCAAATATGCAGGTCCGAGTCAGCTGGCAAGCTCCAGTGAAGGGCTCTTGGCTGTGCTCGAATATTCGTTACAAGATCGAGTACATCAATGGAACGCAGCCTCGTCAGCAGCTAGATCTGCCAAGCTCTGCAATCGAGCATGTCTTCGACTCACCATCGAACACCAAGTGGAAGGTCCGCATTCGCACTGAAAACGATGCTGGAGCATCAGCATGGAGTAACGAACTGGAACTCACTACGCCAGAAGGTGCACCTGGTGCTGTTACTGACCTAACAGCCATCCCAACGGGACCCACTTCGAGTGAAGTTACCTGGAGACCTCCAGCTAATCCCAACGGGGTCATCACAGGCTATACGCTTGTGTACAACCTCAAATCAATGGGAGAATGTGGTCCCAGAAGTTCAACTCCCATCGAGAAACATGTACGAAGCGAAACACAAGTTCTCGATGGTCTTCTGCCAGATTCCACCTACGAAGTTCATGTCATCGCCCACACCTCCCAGGCTGGTCCGCAGTCTAAGACGGTGATGGTCACAACTGAAGAGGCCGCACCGACTGGACCACCAAATAACGTCCGTGTCGGATCCGTCACCTCAACCCGAGCCGATGTCACCTGGTCCCAACCGGACTGCGAACTCCGCAATGGCAAGATCACTGGCTACGACTACGAGCTGCAAAGCGTCGACCAGTGGGGTGAGAATGTCACGGCCTCAAATTCGAATGAGAGGCTCACACTGAACAATCTCGTCCCCTACAATGAGTACAGGATTCGTGTACGTGCCAGCAACGCTGTGGGAGAGGGTCCATTTTCCGAATGGGTACGATTCACCACCCATCCAGCAGCGCCTCCAGCGCCAACAGGCCTTCAGGAAGAGGCATCGTTTCCACATGCAGTCGAGATCTCGTTTGAAGCACCAACTCCACCTCATGGAAACCTAGACTACTACCGTATTCGGCACACTCCTTCTGGACAGCTGAACTACAAAGAAGTCAGAGTTGAGGCCGAGCGTCTAGAGTGTTCCGACGCTGCCAAGAGGAACCGACTTTGCTTCCGAGTTCATGACCTCGAACCCGAACAAGACTACGAGATCGACGTCGCTGCTCACACTGAAGGAGGTGCTTGGTCAGACTGGTCAGAACCGCTCAGTGCACGAACAGAACAGCAACAGATTCCTGTGCTTGAACGCGAACTAGAAGTGATCGACACCAAGCCTGATGCGATTACCCTCCGATTTGAAGGAATTCCTCAAGATCAGGCCGCTCACGTCGTCGGTTATGTGCTCGAGTACAAATCTGAAGATGATGATGATTGGCAGGAGTACAACGGTGTAATCAAACATCGTAAGAGCACGAATGACTATAAGGTCAACGTCAGGAACCTGGAAACGGCTACCAACTACTTCTTCAGATTGAAGGTATTCAAAATTATTTGTAGCATTTGGGAAAATAAAAGTTAATGCTGCTTCAGGTTGTTGGCAAGAATGACAAACGTGGAGCTCCTGGTCCTGAAACGAAGGCTATGACAAGTTGTGGGCGTCCTGAACAGCCTCCAAGCAACGTGAAGCTTGAAAGTGTTGACTTCCAAACCATGAAGGTATGTGAAAAGGCGGTCATCCGTCTTCGGGTAGCTGTTCCTCTCTCCATAACCAAAAAAGTTCAAAGAACTGTATTTCAGATCACCTGGACTCCACCAGAGGAAGACACCTGGAGATGTGACGATGTCGAGTTTATCATTGACTATGTGAACACAACATCTCGTGGAACATGGACGGTAAGCCCCTTTTTTTGTACAAAAAGAGTTTTTCTCGTAACCACTTCTTCTATAGGTACCCGTCGATGGTCCCAGTGAAATGATCGTGCCAACAATGCCTGGCACACGATGGGAAGTGAAAATGAAGACGCAGACCGTTGAAGATGGTGGAAAGCCGCAGACTAGCAGATGGAGTGAGAAGGCTACCCTTGTCACGCAATCTCTGCCCGGAGAGTTGTTCGTCACTGTTGAGCCGAAAGGACCTCGGGAAGCGCTCGTAACCTGGGATTTGCCGGACAAGGATCAGAAATGGAATTATGGAGTAGACATTACCTACAAACTGAAACAGCTGGGTGGATGTAGTGAGAGTCCTACTGGATCACATGAACCTATCACCAAGTTGAACATACAAGAAAAGCAGGTCCCATTGGAAGATTTGGCTCCTGGAAGTGTCTACGAGGTAAGTGTGATCTTCTGGGAGGTGTCCTGATAATTGTGCTAATTGTGTGAATTCTGCTTTTAGGTAACTGTCACTCCTCGTCGTCCTCCATCACTCCATTCCTCTATCGTTGCTCCAAAGACTGTCAGAACTTTCAAGACAAAGAACGACGTCCCTACTGGACCTCCCATGAACTTGCAGTCTACTGTCAGGAAAGATTCCGAGCTGGGATTCAAATGGGATGCTCCAGAATGCATCCACCAGAATGGAAACGTTACCCAGTACGAATTTGAGCTGGTTGGAATGGACGAGTGGAATGAAGGCACCAGAGAGGGTGTCACGCCAAGAACCAACACCATCATTGATCAGCTTCAGCCTGGATCGTTGTATAGAATGAAGGTAAGGTTACCGTCTACCACACCAAGTCTCAAGCGAAATACCAATGCTTTACAGGTTCGTGCTTACACAGGTGAAGGACCAGGTCCATGGTCTGATCCTTTGGAGATTCGCACAACTGGATCTGAACTTGGTCCTCCACGAGAGCTAACAGCTGTACAGACTAGGAGTAATGCCATTCAGCTTACCTGGTTACCTCCTTACCCGGAAAAGGCCGTTGTCACCGCTTACCGCGTTAGATACAGTCCCAGGTAAATTCATTTGTGGGCTTTCGCCTTCCCTTAAAGTCAAAAATTTTTTCAGAGCTGATGACTCAAACCCTACCGAATTCGAACTTTCCGGAGATGAGTTGTCCTGTTCTGGATATAAGAGCCCTATCATTACTGGTGCCAACCTCTGTACAACTGCCAAGAATCTTCAACCATCTACCACCTACAGATTTGCTGTGCAGGTAACCTTGCGCAAACCCTTTCGAATTTCTCCCAGATGGTTAATCTTGACTTACTGTCAATTTTCAGGGACAGTCTGCATCGGGAACGTGGGGAGAATGGTCGAGCGATTACTTCTCAACAACTAGAAAAGACGACAATGAGCTACTTGGTGGCAGTTTGAAACTGCTTTCAGCTGGTCATGACAATCTCAAGGTCAAATGGACCCCTCCAGCTGTAATTGGGGACAAGATTGACAACTATCAAGTGGGTTGTGGGAAATTTTTTCTCCTTTTCTATGCTTGTTAAATATTTTTTTCAGCTCTTCATCTCTGTGGCTAGCGATATCGATCAAAATCCAAAGATGTTTACCGCGCCCGGTTCGCAGACTGATTACCATTTCAGGTAATATTAACCCAAGGTTTTGAGGCTAAAGCTGGATCTTTCATACCAAAGTCTACGAAAAAAAAAACGTCATCACAATCATGCAGTTGTCCTTTGCGTGTAGCCATTCATAAAACACGATTTTTTAGAGTTTTTGTGGGATAATCACTATAGTACATTTGGCGTGTGTAAAGCTCGTAGTTGTAGATTACAGCCTGGTTTCGTACCGGACTCCCTATCACGATTTTTGCAAAACACTGAACGCTGTTTTCTCTTTTTAGCCCTCGGCTGCCTTCATTTTTTAGTTACTACTAATAAAATTGCTAAAATTTAGAAAAATTGCTGAATGTTTCACTTGCAGGCAACTCGAGCCTGTGACCCAATACAACGTCACTGTTCAAGGTCTTTCCGGTGGAAATAAGCTATGGTTTATCTCTTCTGTATTTGCCACTACGGACTTTGGTAAGTTTATTTTGGTTATTTTCTGCCGTTTCCAGAGAAATTATCGATATATTTTTTTCAGCTGAGGGTCTGCTCACTTGGTTACCGGCTCCAACTGATTTGCATCTGATTGAGAAGTCAGATACAATGCTGCACGTTGACTGGGAACCACCAGAGATCTTTGACGTTGAACAGAGGGAACTGCTAACCCATTATAGGTAAAATATGAAATTTTGGGCAATTTGATTTCGAGCGGATTACAGAGATTTTTATACAATTTTTTTTTGCATTGGAAGGAAGTGTTTCATGTGGAAAGTGGAGAAAGCCTTAACTAAACCAGTGCTCAAACTGCAGCTCATAAAAATGATTAATGGCCCAAATATTTGATTCCACGTTCTTACTCGCTACCGTAATCCATAGCTTGAGGTGCCCTCAAGTACGGTATGGGCGAATGTTTGGAGCTGAATTTTGACCTTATAGCTTGGACACTGGCCTGTTGCGGCCTTTTTAACGGCTTCACAAAAAAACCTCCGTACTTGGATTCTCCCTGACAGCTTTTAAGTGGTCAAGCATTTAGAGCCTCTTTTTCAGAGTGACAATCGCTCCATTCGATCCTCGTACCGGTGTGACAGGCCCGAAAAAGAACTACACTGTGCCGGTTCCTGGAAACTCCATTAAATTCGAAGGTCTCAACCCGGAAACTGTCTACAACATTACCGTCCAAGCTGGTACCAACTCCGGTTACGGTCATGTTCTATGGGGAACATACAGCACATTAGCGCCTGGACAAAGACACATTATTCGTCTGCTAAACAGGTAAGCAAACACTTTTAGTGGACACTTTGTTTACAATGTTTTATCGCTTTAGGACACCTACGACTCTACATGTGGAATGGGAGCCAGTATGGGGACGTAGTCATAACGGCTATGTGGTAACTTTTAATGTTTTGGGTAACTTTTAGCTCAGACCGATTTTTCCTTTCAGCTTACCGCTCGTTCACTCCATTCTGTCTACAAGAACGTTCGCATCAACCAAGTGAAGACTTTCGAAGTTGAACCTTGGGAATCTGACTATGTCATCCGTGGACTCCATCCTAGCACGGTCTATAATGTAACCCTTAAACCTAAGGACCACAATGAGGTTGCATGGGGAGCTTATGCCACTCTACCACCCGGCTGGTTCCTTGTGAAAAATTTGAAGCAATGCGATAAGACCAATTATGCCGTTTCGATGAGCTGGGAACCAGTGGAGTTGAACATGGCATCGGATTATCAGGTAAGACTTTGAAAAAAGGGTTCCACATAGATCTACATCCTCGAAAAAAAGGAAGAACAAACGGTTTTGACTTGAGTTTATATAGTGTGGGTGACTTCTGTAGCGAAAGCGTAAAAAAGCGTTTCTGACATGACTCCATGGAAAATTTGCCAACTTTTGAAACAAGGGAAGAATGTTCTGACATAATTGTTAAAACACTAAAGTTCTGAAGCAAGAACGTAAGAAGATTTCTGACATAAATTTGTGAAAATTTTGGATTGCGCTTGTCTAAAAAGGAAAAGAAAGGGTTTTTGACTTGGTCTCGTAAAAATTGGTAACTCTGCAAAAAAACATTTCTGATTCTATAGATCTATCTTGTCAAGAAATTTAGTGTGTCTCATTCTTCCATCAAGTGATTTGCTAAAATGCATTTATCTGCAAAAAAAACCCATTGTTCTAGGTCCGATATATCCGCCTGAAAGATAATGAGGCCAGCTGGAACGAAGAACCTGCCAGAGAGGCCAAAGAACTTCTTTGTCCTAAGGTAATCATTTGCTTGAATCTCTTCAAATTTGAGCTGGAAAGCCCCCAAAATTCGTTATTCTAAAAAAAATTTGTCAGGATGGTTGTGGTCGACTATGCTACCTCGTCTTCAATCTACCACACAATCCATCTGAATACATCTTCCAGGTACATCTTTATTTTTGGCTATGGTGTTTTCGATAAGGGCAGCATCCACTGGAGCGCAGAAAAATAAGTCCATTTTTTCACAATGGAAACCGATTTTTTATCCTGTCACATGAACGTTCAGATAGTGAATGACTTGTGGGTTGAGAAAAAAATCTTCGGTGCTTTTTTCGTTGCGAGAAACGCGTGGCTTTCCAGATGTGAATCATGATATTATTGATTAACTTTCACTAATGAAAGTTTAGAAATGGTTCTGACTACATTTGAATCCCGTTTTGGAGGCCCAGTTTTTACAATTCTCTTCTTTCAAACGTACAGTGAAATAATGTGTTATACTAACAGCAACCACAAATGAAATCACAAATAAAATTCTCAGAAATCAAGTTTCTTCGAAAAGTTAAAATTTTCCAAACATTCCTTTTGATGACGAACTTCTTACCGCCCGTTCCTCTGCCAAAGGTGTGACTTTGAAAAAAGAACGTTTGAAAAGACCAACCTCATGATTAGCTGAACCAACGGAGAACCTACTCATGAAGTTGTAAACATATTACGAAAACTTAGAAAAAACGTTGGGAACCAGTCAAAGCGTCAGCAAATTGAGAGCAATTCTTTTACAATTTCTTCATTCCCTCGTTTTCGAATCAAAAGCGAATTCCGAATTTAACGATGGCTTTTCTTTTGTTTGCCAATTCGTACGCTCTATTTAACTGTCTCCAGTCCCAAACCATATGCTCAGAAGTCACATGGTTGCTCGAAGATCGTAAAGTGCTCTTTGTGTGCACATTGTTTGCCCTTCCGTAGTGAAAGTGTCTTATCTATCCCCTCCAAAAACTTTGAACTCCGAAAAGGAGATGGCATTACGAACCAGCGAAAGCTAGACCTCCATAAAAGAGTGGATGACTAAGCGCTGGGAAAGAAGAGCGAGTCAAAAAGCATCAGAATGTGAAATTAGCACATTCATGGATAGCAAAAGAAGAAACTGTTTTTCGCAGTTGAAACTATGTAATTAGAAGAAAATGAACAGGCACCGTGAACCACATCAAAGCCGCTCGTTCACTAATTGCAGGATTAGGGCTTTATAACCGATTTCCAGTTTTGAACGTTTTTCGTGAGATCTCAAAAAAAAGGTAGAGTTGAACTACTTAGACATGCACTTACCTTAAACCTTCATATATCTTTTTGCGCCAATTTACACACAAGGTAGCAATCGAGTTATCTAAGCCCTTGGGCTTGATTGAAAAACATGTGGCGAAAATGAAAAGGGAGGGTGAATAATAAAAAGGAAAAAGAAGGATAGGCTAAAAAATTCTCCGTACTTTTGTCTGCACAAGTGCAAAAATTGTCACTTCTATTGGAGATTTACAAATATGCAAGAAAAATAAGGATCTTTTTAACACAAATTCTGTAAAATAAAAAGCGTGAGGCTCATGTGGATTTTTGTTGTTCCCCTGTAAATCATCACTGCCCCTTTGGTTCCCCCCCCCCCTACAGAAAAAATAATCAATTAGTGTGGAGAGCCGTTATCGTCCCAATTTTGGTGCCACTAAGGATTTTATGAAGTTGGCCATAGTTTTTATATGTCCATTCCTTCTAGGTTCGAGCCAAAGTTGAGGGAGAATGGAACCATTGGAGATCGGCTCCGAAGAAAGTGATCACCGGAGAAACAGCGGAGGTGCGCTTGAAAAATCTTTTGCCCTTGCTGCCCTCCCCCCCTCCTCTAACGACTAGTTTTTTCCAGATCCGTCGAAGCTGTTGCATTGTGCCTCCACCGTACATGGTTGAGAACATTGGAAGTCCGGGATCATGGTGGGAAGTGGACGTAAGCCCCGCAGCTACAGAAAAAGACGTCACGTGAGTGCTAAAAGGTTATCGCGTCGCGCAGCGATCGAGGTGTCATCGCGATTCGTCGGATGACGCTTTACTCGAGTAATAGGCGCTAGTTAGGGGCGCGATTCGTGCGCCGGAACCAGTTCGCCAGCGCGCGTTTCTCGTTCGCTTTCCACGACAGCCCGTCGATGATTTAGTTTGGAAAAAACGTTGAAAACTGGCTCGATTGTGTCGATTGATGCAGCAGCCGTCTGTGTTGAGTTTTGCCTGTGAATACTGCTGAGTGAATGGGGTCGATGTGGATTAGAGCGAAAAATTGACATTGAAAATGTTTCAGTCGGTACTATGTGGTCGTCGACGAACGAGATCCTCCTGGAGAGTCGAATTGGACAGAACTTACGGACAAGGTTGGGAATTTGACTTGAAGTTTGAATTGTGAGGTTGAGTAGTAGGTAGAGATTGAGCTAGGAAAAATTGAAAGAATTACAAATCAACCCATTGACAACATCGCGATTTCCATAATTTTTTCTGCCTGGAATTTTTGATGATTTGCGTCATTCAGTCAAACACCTTTTTTCGCTCTAACTGATATCGATAAGAAATTCAGAGCTTGTAGAGTTGTTTATTGAAAATCGAGCTCATGTGCAAGGATCTAAAATAAATTATGATTACAAGAACAAAAGGTTTCGTAAAGTGCCGATGGCAGTCGTTGCCCATGTCGTGATCAAAGAGACAAGCTGATAAAGTAGCAAAATTTTCAACTAAAAATTTTACAACAAACTCTAGCTAACGGAGGATATTGAAAGTCCCAACCAGTAAATAAAATAAATATGCTAATTCCTGAGTTATAAAGCTTCTTTTTAGGTCACTGCAAACAAGATGAAAATTCCATATTACGTTGCCGCCTCCTACGACATCAACACCTTGACGGAGCCAAGAAAGGTAAACAAAGAACATTAATTTCAAATATCGCACGTAGACGACGGTTAGAACCCGTACAAAGTCAACAGTAACACTTTCTAAGAAGTCAGTAGGGCGTGATATTAGGCTCATAGGTACACAAGAGAACTATGAGAAGTGTTTTTAGGTGCGCATCGGTGATGGGCAAGTGATCGGCGGCTATCTGAACTATCCGCTAGTGAAGGGCAAGAAGTACAATTACGAGGTGTACACGGTGTGGAATGTGACCGGTGTGCCGGTGGTAGGAAGGAGTAGAGGTGAGTTGGGGTTGGGCATGGGGTTCTTAGTTTGTTTTGGGGAAGGGAAGGAGTCCGAGTAGCGACGCCAAGGAGGTAGCGGCGTTCGTCGGCGACGGCGCGCGAGGCAGTGGCGTCGCGGGGCGTGGTGGTCGCGGCGGCGGCGGTGGCGGCGGAGACGCAGGCGAGGCGGCCGTGGCGACGACGGCGGGGCCCCGTCGACGACCCGCTGCCACCGCACCCGCCGCTCGCAGTCGCTGCGATGGCCTGGCTGCCCGACGGTGAGTTCGCAGCGATCACTTCTTCGCTCTTCTGCAGACGTGCGTAGCTGGTGGGCCCGAGTGCCGTGGTGGTGGCTGCTGCCGGCGCTGCTCGCCGTGCTCCTCCTGCTACCGTGTCTGATTTGGATTTGTTGTTTCTCGCAGTGAGTTCATGCACCCGCGTGAGCAACCGGCACGGTGTGGTGCATGACCGTTTGGAGCCCTGCACTCAGTTCTGCCCTCTTTCAGCCTCTCCCTACCTCGCAGCGGGCTGGCCGTGGTGGTGGCTCCTGCTCCTGCTCCTGCTGCTCCTACTACTAATCCTACTCTGCTGTTGTCTGCTCTGGTGCCTCCAAGGGTGCGAGTTTTTTCCCCTACACTCAACCAATATTTACCAATTCCATTACGGTCTTTATGCCACACTTCCGGCAGCATGTCGTTTTATCGCATGAGTTTGTTTGTGATGCATCCATCAAATGTTTGATTGTCGAGCAGGTTCGCGCGTTTCACACCTCCGTAACCAATGTGTTTACTATTTCACACAGTTTTTAACAATATATCATTCTGGAAAATGTGAAAAATTTCGAAAATCGGATTAAAATGATTCTCTCTGCTGTTTTTGAAATATTAGTGCGTGACAATCAATTCCATCCAACTGTTTTTATTACCTAGTTATAAATCCATATTTCACCGAAATTGTCGTAAAAAGACGCATACATCTGGAAATTGCATTTTGCATCGCACGCAATAATGCATTTTCTTCAGAGAAAATTTTTTTTCTATTTTTACATCATCGAGAAACTCTCAATTATTAATGTTGCTTCTAATTAGTTTCTTCAGCTTCTTTTGTAGTAAGTAGAAAATCATTTTTTTTCTCATTTACATTAAGCTCTGGAAAAAAAGCTCAGTAAAAATCTTCACGATCATTCGCCCTTGTTCTTGATATACACGCTTCCTTGATTTTTGTCTCCATTTTTTTACTATAGTCTTTCTCCAGTTATGGTGAAAAACCTAACATTATTAAAATAGTACCACCAAATGCACGAACCTGCTGAACAACTTACTACTACTACCAATCTTTCACTTTTACAATCCATCTCACTATCGTTGCGTGTTTTTTTTCAGCCGTTATCGAACTCGTAAAGAGCATAGACGACTCGTAACAAACGGACAACATGTTCCGCTGCTTGAAGAGGTATCTTTTGTGCTTTCTAAAGAGAAATCTTGACTTATGTTTGCTTAGAACTTCTGTAGAATGGGGAGAGGGGGAAATATAATATTTTGTCTTGGAGCGCTGTGTTGGAAAAGCGTCTTTGGGAGTTTGATTGAAAAAGTTTTCTTATCGATTTGATCGTTATCGCCTTAGCGGTGTTGACTCGGTCTTTCTTCGATACATGCGGTTGGGCATGAATTGTAAAAAAAATCAACGCTATTTTTAGGAGAAACCAGCAATGGAAGCGAATTTGCGCTCGCTCGAGTCGCGCCTGGACAAAATGCGAGGCGCCGTCGATGGCCGAGGTGAGAGCACATCGCGACTCGCGTATTTGTCGTGACGATCTCGTGACAGCGATTGCAACTGCAAATCCATCACCGCGATCGCCGTCGTAGTGTCTACGGCAATCGTTTTGTGTGTGAATTCATCACGAGAAATAGCCTTGACATGGGCGTGGCTGCCGCGATCGTCAAGTAGCACGCGAAAATCGCATATTTGTTAACGGAAAGCACTAAACCGGAATTTCTCACACTATGAGCGCCGATCAAGCGCTAGAGCACCGTCAAGCATATTGATCGCTATTCGAGGCTTTTATCGGTTAGATTACCAGATTATAGCTTTTTTACGAAATATCCTAGTTTACCGCAAAATCTAGCTGGATAGGTCGAAAGTCTATCTTATAAACTGTTGTTGGCTAATTGTAAGCGAAAAGCGCTAGAACCTCGAAAAAAAAAACCTTTTGTGTTTTCTTTATCAAGTAAAAGACTTTTCAATTTCTGAGGGGTTTTCTGAAGTGCGGAGGAAAAATCGAGTGGAAGATTGAGTCTATTTATACAGAACAATGTTTAGAGTGTGGTAAAATATTTTAGCTCAAATATAACAGCAATTTTTTGCGAAGCCTACAAAATTTATCACATATCTGGCACAAAAATTATTCAATACGATTTGGTCAAGCCTCTTTTCTCTTGAAGTGTTCGGTAAAAGTAGTTTATGTTTTGTGTTTCAAAGTAATAGAACCACAGCTTTTCGAAAATAATGCACACGGAAACGCGAGTTTTTTTTTCCTAAAAAGAGGAATGTCATATTTGTGATTGTACGAAGAAAGGCCCCCGCAGCTTTGTCTTTGATCACATATCAGTTTTTTTCGGTAAGACCATAGAGTTCGCAATTTTTCATCATACAAATCCTCTTCAGTAAAAAACATTTTGCTTAAAATCGGCTGTCGATTTGCAAAGTCTAGAAATTCATAAAATGTCTAGAAATTCATAAAATTTGGAGCAAAGAAAGTCTACCAATTTGGATCAATCGAAATTATTTCTTTGCACAAATTGTTGACTAGTTAAATGAGTACACTGTAGTTCCTTTGGAGATAGTATATAGCAAGTTTTTATGAAGACAGAGAAGCTTCCTAAGATTTTGCTGCTGAATCGGTAAGTGTTGGTGAAATACTCCTTTTTGGAATTGACAGGATGCAAGTTTTTTTTTGCAATATAATCAGCCCTCAAGTCAAAGTTTTTTTTTCACTAATTTGGCATGATCAAGGCTTTCACTCATTGAGTGGAACTGAAGTGACAACCTGTAAAAGGAACATAGATATTTTTCGTGGTTTTTATTTAAGGGGGTGATCTTTGTAAAGAAAACAGGAAATCTTATGATTGTGCGGCTCTTTTGAAAGAACAAGAAGTCCGCTGCAATTATCTGGAAATTTGGAGAATTACCTTTTGTTTGAGATTTTAACAGGTATGTGTACCTTGAAGACCATTTTTATGAGAATGAACGGTGAAAGCGTCATTTTGGAAGGACGAAGCATCTAAATTGCGTCAAATTTGAATTATTTTCTACCGTTTCCAAATCGGAAATTGAAAAAAGTTGCAGCACACGCAGCGTAATTTCTACAGTAACGTATACAGTTCACATAACCATATTCGTGTCAACTGAAATTAAGGCGCACCATATTTCATTTTGGAAAATTATGGCTGCGAATATTTTCAAAAACAAATTGGCCTTTTTCGCTCGTTTTCACTAAAAGCGCAAAGTCATTATCTAGAAACAGCCGTTGCCGTTTTATTAGCAACTTTCCGAAAACCGCACAAGCAGACCCCATTAATACCTCTTTTTCGCAAACTACTGCATTTCGAAGCTCACACTGCACTCAACCAGAAACTTTCGGAACTGAACTTCGCTTGCAAAGTAGAGAGATTCGGTCGCTGAATGCAATGTGACTCAGCATTGCATACATAATCAGAAAATGGTAAACGTTGAAGGCTCTTTGCTACGTACAAGGTCAAGTGGTTTTGAGTTCGAATTTTCACTGTTGGGGTAAGAATCGAACCCAGTACAGGGCCCCGCGCAGATCGTATGGAGGCAGGCTGGACTTCGTTTTTGGGGCGAAAAAGCAATAGGATATTGTTTTTGTGGCCAAAAATTGCGACGTTTTTTAGTCGACGTTTCGTTTCTTGAGAGTTTTTTACGTTAAGGGCTTAGGGTCAAAGGGGACATCGTAAACTTTCGCGAAAGTCAAGAGGGACTTTGTTTTCAAGAAGCCTAGAAACAATCTCGTGCTGGGGCCTGACTCAGTACCTTTTGTCATGCAGGCGCTTTCTAGCCATGAAAAATTAAGGTTAAAAATGCTCATCTTTCAAGACAAGTATATAATTTTTGTTTCATTACCAGGGTCAAGCGTGGGGTGCGGCACGCCACACCTGGGGAGTCGTATTGAGGAGTCAAAAGGGGAGGGGGTCGTAGTTGGGTAATCTGATAATAGTGATAACATGATATTTGTATCATATCCATAATTAGCATGTCAATTAACCCCTGTAGACAAAGTGTGAGCGAATTCTGAAGATTCAAATACTAGGCTACCTAAATGAAATGTTCAAATTCCAACATGGTTAACTTTGTTTCAAAGGTGAATTAGCTATCCGTTTTTGCACTCAAGACAAAGCACTACTCCTTCTTTGTCCAACTCAGGAATCCCGTTTCAGAAGACCTGCAAACTGTGGAATTAGAAGCCAACCAAAATCTCGTTCTTCCCATTTTTCGCTTTTGATCGCTGTGCTTTCACCAAATATTACTCAGAGCTAAGAAGACGAATCAGGCTCCAAACAGTTCTATGGAATCTACAAGTTTTAGGCTATCGATTCATATGAATACTGTTCGCTAAAAATGTTTTTTTTTTGATATAGTTAATGGGGTGCGCCGCACCCTTAACATGCCTTCAAAATCCAGAAATCGCTCCATTGCTGGTATGAGTATTGAGCACATAGCTTCTTCTTGCTACACTGGAAATTTGGAGCCGAACGCCCCACCCTTAAGAAAATTATGGCCCTTTCAATATGCCCATTCAGATCAAAATCAGCCGTCAAATTACGTGTGATTGTAGAGTGCAGTCACAGAAAATCGGGCGTACAGCTCTCAGAATTCTGAACTCTTTAGAAAAAGCTGGTGTCCTCCAGAATGTCATACTTTGAGGTTTAGAGGTTAAGAGGAGGAAGAAGGGGTCGTTTGACGGCTTTCATGGGAGGGAGGGGGTTGTTTTCAAAAGACTTGTGCCTGACCTCTTTCTCAACTCTGGTAATGCTATCTTAGGTATATAGTTCAGGGGGGGGGGGTCTTATAAAGACAGCAATCAGGGGGGGTCGTAACCAGCGATCGTGTGCCATACCCCTTGCTTGACCCTGTTCATTACACGCACTGGGCACAAATTTGGAAGCTTACTCGTATCCATTATATACATACATGAAGTACACCAACAAGGTGTCCGATCACAAAAATGAACTACCAAATAAGGACAAGTTCTTGACCATAGTATTTAGGAAGAGAAGAACCACATCAGCAACCACGAGAGAGTGTCGTATACAGCGAAAGAGATTTAAAGTACTCTTAACGGCATACTGTGTCAAGAAATTCTTTGATTTCTTTCAAGTTTTTTGGAGCTAAGATCACCGCTGTAAAAATTATGAACCTTAAGCCCCAGACAGTTCCGCAAATTCAAAAATTCTATAAAATCCCATGTGAATTTTCCTTATCTACTCAATTTTTCATCAAAAGCAAAACTCCAGTTCTCCGTCTCGGCTTTATAGTTTTGATAATGTGTAATATTGATGAATGATTGCCCTGTTCGTTTCAATTTCAAAAAAGAAATTGCTGAAAGTCACAACTCAAAAGCTACAGACGAGATCCATTTAGCTAAAGAAGAGATAGAAAAATTTGCTTGAAACGTACCTTTCTAATGTAAATCTCGGCCCAGTTAAAAGCTAGTCTGACTTCTTCTCTATTTTTTTCGAGTAAGACTTTTTTTAATTTTTGCGTTGATCAAATAATACTAGTCGGAAAACTGCACGCGACAACCCCTTGTTCAACTTTATGTCAATTTTCTAATCGAAATCCTCTCGATGTCACTGATGATGCATCTGTGACGAGTTTATAGGATTAACCGCGAGCTTGATCTTAGCTCAAGATTAAGGTCATGAAAACGATGTTTGTTTAGCTCGAGGCGACTTCGAGGATGGTTACATGAAAGGCTACAAAGATGCGAACAAACTCGGATCGGCTACCGCTGCCAGAAGGAGAATGGATGATGATTACGGTACCAGAGACGACCGCTTCCACGAGGGTTATGTGAAGGGTCTCAAGTATGTATATCATTTGTTCATGAGGAGTTTTCTTCCGCAAAAAGTTCAGTCCTAGGGATGCGGGAATGACGGGAATGTCCACATCTATGCATAATCTAGCCCAACGTGGAGCTGGAGGTGGCTACTCGAGCGGATTCATGCAGGGATACAAGGTGAGGAATTCAAAACACTCTCTATTTGAAATTTGTGAGAGGCTTGATTTAAGTGAAACATACAGTCCTCTACAGAAATCCTAGCAAAAAGAAATTCCAACTTTTTACAATCGTCCTGGAAGGGCTAGCTCTTCTAGAAGGTTTTTTCTGTTTTTCGGGTTTAGTGGTATCTGGATCAGACAGCTCTAAGCTTGTAATTGCTGGATTTAGTAGATAATGTAGGCCCTTTTACGAAATAATAGTCGCGCTGGAACCATGCTGTTTTGTAGAGCTGCTTAGTATCTGCTAAAGGTCACGTTTACTGGAAGTGAACCACTCTTTTTCAAAGAGACCGAGGCCCGGCAAGAGAATGGCAATCGGATAGCTGTGAAACGGACTTGTCATCGCCACTTTCAAACTTTATGATTTCCCGCGTGGTCGCGCTAACCATGCAGGTAATATGATTGGAGCGCGCTTTACTCCAAAGGCCGACGATTTGTTGTTGCTATCGCTACTTCGGCACCCAGAAAAGAGGAAGGAAGGTATTTTAGAACCAAATCTTAACCCCTCCAAGCCATACCTTATGAACGTGTAATTTTTTGTTCTTTTGAAGTGGAAAATTTGCAGAAATGCTACACCCTCCAATCCAATAATTTGTCCTAAACTTCTCTAGTTTGTTCTTCCTAGTTTTTGCCCTTATATAAGAAATTTAGTATACCTGCAAAGAAACTTGGTTTTTGGAAAAACCCGCCCCGGGCAAGATTGTGTTTGAGCATGGCAGTCTCGTAAAAGCTTGTTTGAGGGATACGTAATGCATAAAGCGTTCATCTACGATACCTTCTTCGCCTATTCCTCTCTTCTCCCCCCCCCCCCCCTCCCTTCCCTCGTTACATTTTCGCATTTCCTTTCCCCGTCATTCCTCCTAAAAATATGACCGACAATTCTGTCGTTTTGAGCTGTTGCTATGTAAGACAAGACCGCTTCAGCTTACCTCCTTTTTGGATCTGTAAAGAGAAGCAAGCGATTTATTCAGTTTTAGTTCAACTCAACTAGAAATCTTCCGCTCCTATGACCGTTTGATTTTCCATTTGCACCTCAAGAGAACAGCATGGTGCAACCTGATTTTTGACTTGCTGTTTATTCACTGTTTGAGCGCTTGCTCAGAAACTCGTCAAAGTTCTGGGGGAAATGATGAACCGATCATGCAATAACGCCTTTCAATACCCTAAATTTTATCTCAGCTCAAATTTATTCCAAGTGTATTTTCAGGATGGCAATTCGGGCATTTTTGGAGATCGTGTAACACCGTCGTTAATCTCTCGTCTCGATGAGCAATATGCTGGCCAAGATGACTTCAAACAAGGCTACGTTGATGGTTTCAAGGAAGGTGCTGCCAGCCGTACTGGGGAAAGAAGAGTAAGGGTTTCTTGCTCATTTACCAATTTAGGCAAAAAAATTTTATTTATAAATTCCAAAAAAGGGTGAAACTATTTGGAGTTCTTTGATTGCATCCTCAAACACTAGTTTCGGAAGTGAAGCTCTTAAAATATCCTTTATGTCACCGCTTTCAGACATTCGAAGACTCGCGTCGCCTTCAGCAATCTCTGACAGAATTGACCGAAAGGTTGACATCTCTTGAGAAGACCAAAGGAGATGAAATTCACTCTACGAAGATCTATCACGTTTGTGAGTAATCTAAAACAGCACTATTTTGCTCCAGATCTATTCAAATTCCATTTATTGCAGATAACCAACAGCCTGAAACCATTGGGTATGCCTCAAGTGGACAGCAGTTAGCTCAAGAACTCGAGGAAATCAATAGCACATCTCGTAGGAGCACTCTTAGAAGACATTATACAGTAAGTTTGCAACCAACAGCATTGATACATGCGCTAGCTTATCAGCAGCTGCAAAAAAATCACATTTCTTCCAGCCGGGAGACTACTTGAGATATGCCTCCGAGGGCGAGACCTATGGAACTCTCGGCCGAAATCGTCGTTCACTCTCTGCATCTGCTCTCGGAAGAGGTTTGTTCTATGGGTCTCTCAGGGCGAAAACTCGTCCAGCTAACTCTTTCGCCTCTTGCATGTCGCTTGCTGTTTCTATTAATTGATTTGAAGTGAGTGCATGAGCTAAACTTCAGACTCTGGGACGATGGAGAGTCGAACGGCTGAGCAGCGTTCGCGACACGCGTCCGGCACCGGTTCGTCGTACATCACGCGGTCGATGGCCGACCGCCAAGGCACCGACACCTACTCGAAGCGCTACAACTACCGTAGCCGCTCGGACGTGGGCAGCCCGCGGCGATACGCGAGTCAGACGCTGCTGGACGGCTCGCGACCGGGCCCGAGCACGCCGCATGCGCGACGCGACGCGCTCAGCACCTTGCAGCGAGAGCTGGACACCCTGAGCCGTTCTCCGGACCGGTCCACCCCGCGAGGTTACACCTCCGACACCGCCTACGACACGGTCCGCTCGAAGGCCCGTGGATACTCCAACTACGACTATGGTGAATAAGTACCTCCTCTTTTCTTAAGTTACCGGGTTAGATCGAAGGTTTAGGCGCAAAACCTCTAGCCTCCCTCAGCAAACTGTTGATTTTTTGCAAAGGGGATATAAATTTGGTTTAACTTTCCCCGCCCTTCCCTTTACTGCTCGCTCTACCTCTCCATCGTTCTAATTATTATATAATTGGCATTTAAAGGAGAAGGAATTATTTGCGCGAACAAACTTGTACAGTGAGGGCGAGGAAGAGGAGATTATGGGGGAAAGAATTATATGGTACCTACACTTCTTGCATAAGTTTCTGATATTACCGTAGAAGTTGACCCTAAAAATAAGTGTGGTGCAGTTTAATGGTGAAAGAGGGAGAGATTGGGATGGAATGTGTGAAAATGTTAAAAGTGTCTGCGTGAGCTGTATCATGCGAATGACTTGTTTTTGTATCAGTGAAGTGTCAGTGAATTTAGTACCAAAATTCTGTAAAATTCAAACCTTTTGAAACTTTTACGGGAGTTGTTGGCTCAGAAAATTTCCCCTTTCTTAATAAGCTTGCGAAGAGTATAGGAAACATCCTAAGATGTTTATGGGAGGACTCAATTCCTTCAGCCCAGAATCGGTCATCTGTTCCTCATCCTTCACCCCTCTCACAAGATCTGACAATTGATTTAGTGTGCTTGTGGTGCTGCAACATTTGTCGTGTATATGCTGCCAGCTTGCTGCTTATGACTTGCGCGTAAATAGTCAATTTGTCTACCCGTAAATATTCTTGCAGCGCAAAAACAGAATATTCCCCGCACGTTTAGTAGGCTATAGAGCCTACTCCAAATTTCGAGTCAAAACTCAATGAACTCGCAAGTTAGACGAGATAGTAAGTAGAATAATCGCAAACCACATAATCAGCTTGTTGGTTGTAGCTGTACTTGAAAACGCTTCATATCCTTCTCAGCTTGTTCAAATCCACCATTGAAGCATAGCCTTTGGTTTGAAGCAGCACCTATCTGATTAAAGAAAGCCTTTTCCGTGGCAAAAATAAGTTCTCTTTCCCGAACCTGAACAGTAATTGCACGCTTACCTGCTTGCACTTTCCCCCTTATCCCCTCCCTCTAAGCGGGCCCCCAACTTTTCAGAAGCAGACCTTCGATCCAACGTGGTTTTCTACTCCCGGCTTCGACCGGTCAACTATCGCATGCCTTTCCATTAGTGTATGCTGCGTTTTTTCTGTTCTAGACACCTTTTCGTCAAGTCGCCAACATGAAATTCGAACCACCGTCGGTGGAGCAGCCGGTGCTGCCGGCGGTGCTGGCGCGACTAGCGCCCACTCAGCCAGCAGGCATGCTGGAAAAGGTACGTTGCCGTGTCGTCCTGCGCCTTCACTCTTTGACGAAGTCCGCGAAAGAGGCAAGCTTGAATTTGGCTACTTTCGAAACGTTTGCTTCAAAAGTTATAAAAAGGGCAATTTTAAAATAAGCAATTGATATTACATGTGCGGGAAGTGCGCTGACAACTTGGGTGTGAGAGAGGCGCATTTTCCGGCTCTTATCAACTCTGAACTCCAGTTCAGGCTACATTGACAAAATCTTGCAAAGAAGTGCTTGCTTACTGCTGCTCATATATGATTTTGATGAATTTTGCTGGAGAAAGGAACTATGCTAGTTGCACTCTCGTAGGTTCCTGACATCCAGCATCCGTGTTCGAAGCTCATTTTGACGCCATTTTGAGACCGTTACCTTTGAATTTGCAATACTTCCAAACCATTTTAAAGGCAGCGCTTACCCAAAATTTCGCCTTCCATATTTTGTCAGTCTGGGGCCTTTCCATGGCCCCATTACAGTTACGAAGTTCTAAATGTGCACGACCTCAAGAGTCCTGACTTCTGGGAGCCCTATCCTGAAGGTGCAGCAAACTTTCAGTACCTGGGTGGGCGGAAAATAGGATTCGGGCATGGCTTGGTAGCACTTTCGCGATTCTAGGTTGCTCTCCATTCAGAAACAACACTGGAAGACTGAACCAACGCAGAAGCCCCCCTGGGGCTAACGTTTAGGACAGGTACTAATCGGAGGGGTTAGGTTTGTTTACACGCTCCCGTTGAAACAAAATGAGCGCTATTAAATCTCCATCTGGCAAGAACGACAGCTTAACGAGCCTTATGACGTAAAGTGGTTAGTATTAGATTATCCAGTGGCCCCGCACATTTGTTTAGAGTTTCTGAAAAGTCTCCTCAGAAGCGTGCTTAGTATCTCCAATCATAGTGTTATTAGAGTCAGAAATTAATGAGGGTTTTCATCTTGACAAGGGAAAAAATATTCCTCGACACACCCCTTGTAGTCTTGTTATCTGCCAAACGTTTCCTTTGAAGAAATGGGTTTTTTTGCGGTCTAAATGAACTTTAGGTCTATAAGAAAAGTGTTCTTGACAGCTAATCAAGCCCGGGTATTTTGAGGTAAATGGTCTACACATGGCAGTTTGAGGAATACCAAATTAGGCATTCGAATTACACCTAATTTTGAAAAGCCAGTAACGTCTTTAGAGACCGTTTTCGGCAGATAGATAAATTCAAGGTTATCGTTTCGAATCGGTCCAACCATATGAAACATCCAAAGGCCTTCTTCGACGAACTATCCCTCCTTCTTCCCCCTAGGTATAAGTTTGACTGGAGTGGAAAGAGTACGGTAGCATGAGATTCAAATTTGACTGGAGAAGAAAGGGAACGGTAGCAGTACGGTAGACCCATTGAACTATCTTACACAATGTATGGAGTGAAGGAACCCCCCAGTTCGCTAAAAACGAAACTGCGACATCTAGTCACATGTCATATTTGGAGTCGAGCATAATATTGATAATGTGTGTAACTGCACACCGCACTTTTTACAGTAGGTGCATTTTTCGCATTTTGTATTTTTGCTGTTATCTATCCTCAAACAAATTCACATACATTATCCGACATTTTTTGCTCTAGAGGTATGCTCATTGATAAACAGAATAAGTACACCACCTTTTTATTATATAAACCATCTTTTCAAGCATTACCTGCAAATGTGCGTCAATTGCCTTGACGAATTGACGTGCAATTGCACATAAACGTTATCAACCTAATTTATTGGACTCTGTATCTGTAGTAAATTAGTGGCTAACCCAATTTTTTCTAATTGAAATGGAATTGAGAGGAGGCAATCATTCAACATTGAAGAAGGAAATGAAGGAAGTTTTCGTCGACAAAACGTTTCTGTGCTCAAAAAAATTAGTCTCAGTCAGTTGTACTTCCGACGCAACAGCCAAATTTGTCTTCCGCCCAGCTCCATAAAAAATTTGGTCTTTTGGTTCCTCGAAATGCACTTGGAGAATGCTTTCGCGCGCGTATGTCCTAGTTTCATGTCAGAAAAGTACGAGAGCGTCACCATCTCGGAACAAGTTCGCAGCCATTCGTCCCTCTCGTTATCACTTGAGCGAACCGTGCATTTCACTTTTTCTGCTCCGTACTTGCACCAAGAAACTGAAATGTTGCCTGCTTCCATGAAATCGTACTTCTCTGTCTCCAACTGTCAGGTTTATCTCATCTCTTCCAAAATGGCTGATGAGATCGAATAAACGGTAAAAAGTGCATTGGGGACTGGGTTGGCTCCTTCGCGGATTTCGTCGCTATGTTTGCTTGCTGCTTGAGATTTAGCATGTGATGTGTCTTGCTTGTACTTTTTCTGATAGGTTCGTTCTCTAACCCTCTTTCCTGTCCTAATTCATCGCTTCTTACTTTGAATGGCTCACAAGGCTTGGCTTACCTGCTCAATTCTTTCGAGTCCATGGTTAGTGAAATTTTAGACTCCACAGACGACGCAGGCAGATGGGCCGACGACCTTCTCGAAATCGTCTCGGAGCCTATGAATAAGACACTAGATAGAATGAAGAAGTACAGCAGCTCCTCGGCGAATGTCGGTCAGTTCTTCCCTTCTTTGCACCAAGGATCTCCTTCAAAGGCTGATCAAAAGCCAATAGCTACAGCACAAACTCCAAACCCACAGTCTTTGGGCTGTCAGGAAGTAATCCGGCCTTCACCTTGATCTTCCATTTCGTGTCCCTGTCAGCGAGTAATCCAGCTTTCAGCCTGATTTTCCATTTCGTGCCCCCATTGAAATGAAAATTCTATAGCTAATAAAAGCATAGGCGGAAAGAAATGTCAACCATCTCATTGCTTAAGCTCGAGACATTCCGATCTAAGAACCAAGGAAAGATTAGGGGAAGGTAGCAAACACCAATAAGCGAGCTTATGCGCTGATAACCTTGTGATCCACTGATGACGTTCAGTATAAACTTTTGGAGGCGCTTTTTGGTCCGAACACCCAGGAGGTAGTTGGTACCTGTCACCAGCAATTAGCAAGGTGTCGTGCCAGTAAACATCAACGAGCTCGAGCTTTTGCTAAACTTCTTAGTCAGTGTTAGTCCGAGTTAATCCCAAATAGCGTGCGCAAGTTTGCCTGTTCGCCTATAACAGCAAGGCACTGATACTGCACATTTGGGAATTCGCAGAGATTTGCGAGAGTTAGCCGATCGCCAGTTCGATGCTTTGATCCTCCCAAAAAGCTCTTATGGAGGCAGATTCATCTGCTAAGAATTCGAGAAAGCTTATGTGGTTCGTTAAAGAGCGAAGATCAGATCGTGACCCTATTGATAGTAGTGGGCCTACTAATCATTATGACGCAAGCATCAGAGATTTGACTTACAATTCACCCTCGAGATCTCGAGTTAGCCATTTTCAGATTTTATATTAGGAATAGATTAAATACAGAGATTTTGAAAAATGTACCGAGTGCTCAAAAGTAACCTTGTTGTCCCAACAAATTTCGAACATTTCGACATATAGTAGGGCAGACACCAAGTCATAGGTTTACGGTATGTTCACCGTACTGTGCTCTACAGTATTCTCCGTTTATTAGGTTTAAGTATACGGTAGAACGTTCACCGTCTCCTTGTTACTGTAGGATTACGGTATGAATGTGCAACATTTCGACATATAGTAGGGCAGACACCAAGTCATAGGTTTACGGTATGTTCACCGTACTGTGCTCTACAGTATTCTCCGTTTATTAGGTTTAAGTATACGGTAAAACGTTCACCGTCTCCTTGTTACTGTAGGATTACGGTATGAATGTGCAACAAATTTTTGTTTCAGTTAGACTCACAGAATAACACAGTATTGGAAAGAGTTAGAGACACGACTATGATTGAACTAAATAATTGAATCTTTATATAAAAGTTGTGCTCTACAATACTTCCCATTTATTGGGTTTAGGTATACGTTAATGACTGCTTACCCGATGATCTTAGTAATTTATTCGATATAAATAGTCCTTAAAAATTTGCTTTCAACAGCCAGCTAAACTTTCAAATTAATGAATTTTCAAGCCTTGAGAAAAACTTTATGGCAGTCATTTTATCACGACTACTAGAATTTCCCACCGTAATTCTACAGTAATTAGATGATTCATTTTGCATTGTTTAAGCTGAAGCAAGCGATACACTATGGATCTAGACTTTTGCGAATTCCTTCGAGACAGCCCGTAAATTAGAGCTCCAAATGACGCAAATTTGCACTTTATGTGCTACTACAAAAGTTTCGTCCCTGCTAAAAATGCTCTTTCCTCGAAAATAGAGAACATTGATAAGGCTTTTGCAGTTGTTTACATCGTCGAAATTGTCGAAAACTGAGCAAACAATGTTCCGCTTGTGCTTGCGGATTTAGCAGATAGTACCTTCCGTTTCGGTAGTGATATCGCATCATATTGTGACTCATTTGAAAATCGCTGATGTAGGTGAAGTACGGTCATACTGATTATACGGAAACTCTTTCGCACCAAAAAGATCTCTGAACTTTGAAAAGGAGGAAATAACGGAAGTAATTTGTACCATTTCAGAAGCCGCTGGCCCGTCGACGTCACACGGCGGCGATGCAAAAGAAATCGTCGAAGAGAAATACCATAGGTCATACAAGGAGGTAGGCAAATAATTGTAAGTATAGCCAGAAATTGAAATTGAAGCTCAAAATATTTTGAGGTTTTTGTAGACATCAAAAATCAAATTTTTTTAGGAGCATTCCTCGGGAGGACGATAGAGATTCGGTGCTACTACAACAACGCGAGAGTGTGTGTGTTCGGTGAATTCGGTGCTACGTCATTTTTCGTCGCTTTTTCTGTCTTTTTTTTATTTTCTATCTCTCTTCACTTATGTTCAGATGTTCTCTATGCTGCCATATGCTCTCACAGTTTTTGTTGAGTTTTTTTCTGAAGTGTACCTTTCATTCAAATCCTGCCTTGCTTGTTCACTTTCACTATTTGTTTTGCAACGCGAATTTTTGTATTTTTGACTTTTAACGTTCGTATCTTGTCCAAGTACGACATACTAGCCAGAGACATATATTTTTACGATTTCACTCTCTTGATTGTATCAGATCTATTTTTTTTCTAGGAGGAGGACATATCATAGAAATCCCACACATGCGGCCTGCAGACGTGAATTTGCTCACTTATAAATACATAATAAAGCGTTTTTTGTACTTGATCGCTGTGTTCTTGCTGGTTTTACTGGTTTTTTCTTCCCCACCACAGAATGCAGGGTGGAACTCGAAATTACTCAAAAGTTATAAAACATTGACGTTTGATCGTTATTGCCGAGGAGCAAAGTTACCCGGCACAAAAACCGGTACTGTTTCGTCCTTGAAGATTCTGGTCGAGCTACATCTGGCATCTATATTCGCGCTCTGCCTTTGTATTAAGATCAAGGACAAATGTAACTTATCGGTTATCGCTTAGTCTTGGTTTCTCAGGCACACATCCTTGCATCAGTTGCAGTCAAGTGCACCCAAATCGTGCTCTTTTCTGGTGCTCAACACTTGAAAAACTGCCTTAAACTCATTTTTGTTCCCTCATCAAAATCGTCTATTTCTGTGCACCCACACCATCAAACCTCTGCACCAGATATTGGAAAAAATATGTGTGATGTATCGTTTTCAACTTCCACATCTCAAATGTCTAAGAAGTCCGATTCCAAAAATTTGTAACTTAAGAAGTCCAAATGTTGTTCATACAGTCATGTTTCGATGATTCTCGTCTAAGGTCATACAGCAATGCATATAAGGTGGTAATAAGTACAGAGACAATGTCGTGCTGGATATTGATACTAAATATTAGAGGAATACGTACGAGCTTATACCGAAACTACTGCATAATCTTTGCTTATTTTTGATACTAAAATGCAAAGGAAATGTGTTCAAAACGTTTCAGCTCCGCTAAATCTTCCTGCAAATATGACCGCAATCTCCTAATCTAAATGGAATTGTACAAGATCTTTTTGTTTCTTGGTGAACTTATAGCACTCGTCGAGATGCAAAAAGTCCAGCCAACTGACTTCAGCCTAAACAATTTTGGTAAAATGGTTCGAATTTTGATCATTGGAGGTAAAAATCATACCCTCACTGATGGTAGGCTCAGATAGTAAGGAATTCTCATTACTGCCTCAGGAGCCACAAAACAAGAGAGAATGTTCACATTAGTTCCTTTTGGAATCTTATTTTATGAGGTTTATCGCTGATTTGTCTAAGGGAGCCTATAACATCATTTTTTCCGGGTTAGAATTGCTCAAATTGAATAACTGCACCAAAACTTCTTTTCCTTTAGTCCAAATATGAAATTCTGTTTCCTTTCTCATTGTCATCGAGTGCTATGCACCGGATGCTTGTGACTGATCAGTGTGGTTGCCTTGGAAGCGGCTCGTCGTCGCACTGATGGATTTGCTGATCGTGAACCGATCGGCGAGGATCTTCAGATCGCGACTCCGCCTGCTTGACCTACGGTAGATGAGCGGCCGCCGCCGGGGGGACCGCCCACAGCTGTGCGGTAGGGGCAGCCGGTGGCCACGCGCGATGTGCTGCTCTCTGGCGCTCTTCCTACTATTGCTCATCCTAGCCCCCCAAGTTCATCCGGCTCCGCTCACTGCCAATTTCGATGATACTGTGGTTCGTACATTCTACATAGGAGTTTACGCCAACAAAATTGCTCCTAAAGCGAGAAAGTTATAACAGTGGGAAGAGGAGGCACCTCTACAGTAGCTCACCTACCGTAATCTGCACTTGCAATCCTTCCTTGGTCTCAAATTGTATCTATAAGATACCTAAACTATTTGAAGCTATATCCTATAGGTTCAAAATCTAAACTATGCTCAAGTCTACAAATGAGCTGATTTCCCTTTTTGACGATCTGTAACCTTATACCTAAAATTTCTAGTTTATGTGAAGTCATTCACTTCCTCAGCTTCAAAATCTAAACTACCTTTCCCACAAAAAGCTGATTTTCCTCTTCTATCACCGCTTCCTCTGCTAACCAACCACTCCATACCCAACAGACTGTATCCGTAAAACTCGTCTACCTATCATAACTTCACTTTCCTACTAACGATAATTCCCCATAAAAAGAAGAAACGCTTCCGCTAACGGAAGTTTCTCGGCGCATTTGCCGTTGATGGCAGAAATCAGTGCGAATAATCTACGCAACGGTCGGGTCGCATACCTGTCGTCACTAAAGAGAAGAGCTTTCGTTTCGTTGCTCTTCGGGGTGTAGAGATGTAGACCTGGGGTTGAGCGACTCGTTACCGTTTCTATATGGTTCGGCGATCTCGCTGTCTCGAATTGATCTGGCCAGTTGTTTTCTTGTTTATCATTCATCGTCACAGCGCTATGGTTCTCCGATTTGTAACTGTAAAACTCTCGGACAGCCCGTCTGATACGTTTTGACATTGAAGACAGTGTTTCTTCACGTTTTTATGCATGTGCTAGAGCGCGTTTAGCAAAGGCTTGAGAGTTCCGCTGATCGCGTCCGCGTCTGATTGTGTCCTCATTTTCAGCGGTTCTCATCATCTCGTCTTTGTCGATATCAGCATCGTCGAAAGTCAGCTGTAGTACCCGAACGATCAAAAGACGCGCTTTCGCCCCCTATATCCAGCCCGAAAATGAGGACACTTTCCAACCGAGCAGAGATTTAGTGAGATCGCGTCCGCTCGCGCGTGCGCGCGCGTTCTCCTTTTCGCCATTGTATTTTAGACGCGCGCGCGGAAAAAAACGGCCACTCCACATCCCGAAAAGAAGCGTTTCTCATTTTTCTTCATGGAACACGATTGTCGCCAAAAGTTCAGAGTTGCTGGCTGAGTAGTTTTGTGGCGACTTATCATTACAGCGTCGCTTGAAATGACGCGCTCCGCTTGATTTCGAGAGAGACGGATGGTCAACCATGCAAACGCCGTACGTACGAGTTTTGCTCTGCCATCGCGCAATCGCTGCGTTTCAACGTCTTCCGCTCGCTATGTTGATAGCCACGATTGTAACATTGTTTACTGTAATCGGGAATAAATAGAGGGACAGTGAAAACAGTCGCTTAGCTGACCAGCGAGCAAGGCGACCGACCTTACCTTTTGGGAGCGAAATCTGCCAATGATGGGTGGAAAAATAATAGGAGAGCGCGTGAAACCGTTGCTCTGTTTCGAATTCCTAAAATGAGGTAGAAAAGCTTCAGACAGTTTCTGCTAAGTGTGATATGAAATCATATAGGTTTATATGCTCGTACGGAAATGTACGAGATTCAAAGCAGCTCTCCTTGAATTTTTGTTACGGTTCGCTATCATTTGACTGAAAACTCTAAAAACTTTTGAAAAATCCTTCGGTGGTGTTGCCATGATGCATTCCCCATTGGTGCCCTAGAAATTTGGCTGCTCTTTGAATTCTTTGCATTCTTCGATAGCAAAACCGTACCATCGTTCGTGAACTACTCGAAGCTAAATTGGCTATTTCCCATCAAAGGAATGATTACTGTAGCTCATTTTGAGTCCACTGTTTTCAAAATACCCCTGCCGCAAAACTTTGCTTCTCTCTTCTATTGAGCAATACTGTAAAAGTACTGTAGAAGTCATATAATCCAAGTTTCTTTACTGACCGAACTGCGAACAAGACGACTACGGTAGCCTGTAGATTGGTCATCTATGGATACGGTAGCCTCTCAGTAGGTAGCTCAGTGGTAATTACGACAGTTTAATCAAGTCCGTCAACTCATTACTCTTTAAACTTTTGCTAATAGTGTACCAGAAGAAGTGAAAGTGAAAAGTGACGACTTACCTTTTGAATTATCTATCTCTTCGTCAAATTCATAACTTACCAGCTCGACGCTCTTCGGAGTAAATTTTTTGACAATTGCTATCATACTGCAATTTGTTGAAAAACTCCAAGACCTACACCACTGCTTCTGTAGAGCAGTCTATCATTTTCTGCCATAGTTCGGTTTTTAGCGATTCACGTGCTATTAATGATAAGGAAGTTGTAAAGTAGGTTTTGCTTTTAATGGAAATTTTGCACCAAATTCCTTTTGAATCTTACTAGTTGAGGAGTTGATAGAAGGTCAAAGTCAATGGAATAAACATTCTAAACTGAGCATAAATCGTAAAGTGGTCGCAGTAGTGCCATCGTCTACCTCAAGGACTAATCTTTCACTTGCCGATTCGGCTGTGACAGCGGACAGGCTGTGTTTGGCGCGATCATAATTTTCTTATAACAAAAATTGCCGCAAGAATGGCAGAATTGGTCTTCAAAAAGAGTCCAAGTAGCCGTAAAAGTGAAAATCGGGTGTGAAAAAAAAACTGCGACCACAAGTTTTTTGAAAAAACGCTATCGCACTCATCTGCGAGCAAATTACACTGCAGAATGCAGTTTTTGAACATTTGAAGAGAAACTTGTTTTGAAACAGATCGTCATCGTTTCAGCAATACCTGCACCGATATGGATATCTTAGCACGGCGACGCCAAGTCTGCACGAATTTCGAACTGCTCTAACGCTATTTCAAGTCAGTGCATTTATTGATTTTTCTGTTTTTACCTTTTCACTTTTTTATAACATTTTTTTCAGGAAGTGATGGGCGTTGAGCCATCAGGTGAACTGGATGCAGCAACTGTAGCCGCTACACGTCTTCCACGATGCGCACACCGGGACACCTTCAAGCAGTCAGGAAGATCCAGACGATTTGGTCCGTAATCGCACCACTTGTCGTTCTACTGACTTAAGTATGAACGCCGAATTTCAGCACTCTCGGGCACTCCAAAATGGGACAAGAAGCACTTTACTGGTTTGCACGAATTGTCTCTGAAGTGGTTCGTTTCCGACTACACAAACGACCTACCGAAAGCAGTAATCCGGTAGGTATGCACTAACCGAAGCCCTGATCCATTCTTTTACCAAAGCCCTGCCCTTTAGCTCGACGATTCAAAAAGCTTTCCAAATCTGGGAAAAGCAATCAAACGACCGAAACTTGCCCAAGGTTAGCCTTTGCTCTTCAACCCAAACTCTGCAATTTCTCTTCGGAAAATGATGTGCGCGTTATCTTGGCGTCTATAAACTGCGCCCTTACCCAAGAGTGGCAAATTCGGCTCAGAGATTGTTTTGCCGCTGTGATGATGTTTTGCTCGAGAACGGTCAAAGATCGGCCGTTGATGATGCGTATGGCAAACAATTCGTTGACGTTTGTAAATACCTGAGCCACCTAATGAATGAGTGTTTATCCACGTGCATCACATAAGTAGCTCTATCCTATAGAATTCCTAGAAAGGAAGGGAGCGTCATACAGCTGTGCCTAATCGTTAATCGTTTGTCATTAATGGCCATGAATGGATGACGTAGTTTTAGGTTACATTCCACTTCGAAGAGGCTGCATCAAAAGAAGAGGCTGACATAAATATTTTGTGGGCTGAAGGAGAGCACGGGGATCAGAATGAGGTGGGCAAAGATGTGCGTCTTCCTGTCCTAGGAGTTCTGGTCTCTACTGCTTCAACAGTTTTCCATGGTTTTACTTTTCAGTTTGACGGAATCAAGAGAGAAAAGAATATCCTGGCGCACACATTTTTCCCTGGACATGCCGAGCCGCTCAACGGAGATATTCATTTTGATGATGCGGAGAACTGGGTGGATGACCCGAAGGCAGCGGACGGCTAGTGAGTTGAATCGTTCTTGGAATAAATTGTTTGAATGGCATTGCACTCTCATATAGTTTTGTGGAAACAGTGGTTCATATGGTGTCTCTGCAGTAAAAACAACATTTGCGCGCTCAAAATGGGCTTGAAACGCGAAGCTTGCAAATGCGCGTCCTTTGACCATTTTTTACGCGCAAGCGTTGTCAGCATCATAAACATTGCAATCTTCCCGCGCAAACATTGTTGGCACCGCAACGACACTAAATTAACTCTTAAATCTATGCTGTGCGTTGTATTTGTGTGCCTTACACTATTTTGAATTTTCTTCATGCTAAATGTTTTATTTTAGCGAGCGACCATTCTTTCCGTATGTGCTCGTACATGAGATTGGACATGCCCTCGGACTTCAGCATGCGAAAAAATTAGAAGCCATTATGTCGCCTGTTTATAAGAGCATACCACTTGATGAGATCAAGCTTGATTTGGACGACAAATGCGCCGTCAACTGGAACTACGGTAGGTTTTATTTCTGGAAATCTACGATACAAAGCTGGTTGCACACATGTCATCTTTTTCATCAAAATTGAATGGGACATGCGACTTGATTTTCTAGAAATGGATTTGATTTGGCTATTACGTTTTTCAAAACTTGGCTAAAAGCGGTTTGGTCGGTCATTAAGTTTTTCAACTGGTTCTTGTCCGGTCTCAGTGTTAGTTCGGTAGAGATGAAAAAACACGTGCTTGAGGACCAAAATTCTTGCGGCGTCAGAAGATCCCTTACGTTCCTTCTTCAACCCCCGCCCCCCCCCCCCTTATACCAAATTTTATTCGAAATGTATCCGAAGGTCTTCTATAAACGTTTTGCAGCTTGTTAAGGCGCTCAGAACCCAGCGATCGTCACCGGATGCTGAAGTAAAAAATTTAAGCTTGTTTTTGCCCTCTTCTTTGTATTGGTACACTTTATCTGTTCCATAATGAAGGTCCAAACATATTTTGCCCAGCGAAACTCTTCGAACGACTCTTCAATCTACAATTGTATTCCCCTTTCTCCAGTTTGTCTTATTCTTGTCTTATCTTGCAACTTCTTTGCAAAAAAAACAGATTTTTTGTCCTCTCTGAGTATCCTCTCGATCTGAACTTCTTTCACGTTTCTCAGTGCTGGAAAACGCCCTTTTCCCGGCCACCCACTAGGAAAAATTCTTTTCCAAAATCGAGCAGCTGTTCCTTCACGTGACAAGTGCAGAAATACCCTCGATTTTTGAAAGTACAAATGATCAGATACATTTTTTTCGGGGGTAAAGTACAGATAACTGGATGTTTTGTATATCTGGTTGTTGCAATAAGGCCTAGCAAATGATTGATATTTTTCCTTACCAAATTCAGCAGCTCGCTCTTATTTTCTTGAGTTACCGTAAAGTACTTGATAAATATTTGTCATATTGTAGGTATTTTTAACTTTTGATCGCTTAAGTATGTACTTCCGTGCACTTCTGTTGTTTTTCCTCTAGTGAGTTTGAGAAAAGAAAAAGAAAATCGTAGTTATCTCAAAAATCATCTCGAGCCCTTTGTTTTTGAATGATTGTTTTTCAGTGGGATCGTCGAAATTCTGCCTATTCGTCTGGTTAATGAACGAAATCGTCCCAATGAATGCTTCCGATCAATTGGCGTCCAGCAGTAAGTGAGGATTGACAATGATTCCCAGCTGTACATATTCTCTCTCTCTCGTAACTGTGTGCTTTCCTACGATTCTTCTACTAAATTTCCCCAATTCCTTCTACGTTCAGCTCATATGAACGTCAGTCCGAAGCAACGCACTAAGGCGGCGAAAAAAATCTTCAAACGTGAGTCTTAAACCATATTTATTCACTCGATGTTAGTGCACAATATTCTAGCATTCCAGAAACGAGAATTCCAAGATGTCAAGCTTCAAATGATCTACAACTGGTGATAGAAGAGAGACTTCGGAAATTTTTGCATTTTCCGCATTCCGAATCAGAAACTTATAGTGCGTTTAGTTATCTCAATCACTTCAGTTGTCACTAAAGATTTCTCAATTTAGGTGAAGTTCTATGTAATTTCCTTCTGGGTTTGCATGCGTATAGAGGTTCCCCCGATTACAGTACCAGTGATTCTATTGAGAAAGAGTTTACTGGAGTCATGAAAGAGGTAAGGTTTGAATCAATTTTCTTCATTTTTTTCCTCAAAAAGTCGATATTTACAGGTTTCTGAGTTTGGACCTGCCTCGTCCTCCTCCGTTCGGCGAATGGCGCGGAGAGCATGGCGACGGTTGGAGCATGGGAAACCTTCTGTTCTTGGTTAGTTATCACTCGTGGAAAAGATCTTGGATGACTCCAAAGGATTTTTGATGCTGTCTGCAGTGTAACAAAATTGTGGAGCGATTTTTTTTATTGTGTACAGCTGGCAATATCCTGAAATTTCGAAAACACTCAATCAATTTTGTTAAAAAGACTTTTTCAAGAGGTGGCGTTGCTAGGAACTAAGTTCGCTAAAAATTTGTAAAACATACAATTTGGGATCGCCACTGATTTATTACCGACTTATGTCAACTTTTTCCAAGAATTTTGCTTTCGTGAATCTAGATTCTTTTCCCGACCTAATATTTACAAGATCCAAAGTTATTCTTTCTGGTGATCTCAGAATCACTAAGAAGAGCCGGATCTCTTGAGGGTGGATTCAGAGCAGATATCTTGCTAATACCACACGCCTAAGTTATGTCTCATCCGAACTTGCGTGCGCATAATCTGTGTATTCTGCAATCTTTGAGTTTCTAAGCAGTTTGGCGAGGATGGAGTTTAACCTGAATAAATAGCTTCCTCATATTACTTAGAAACTCATAAGCGATGATTGGAGAAATTGCCAGTAAAATAATCTTAACGGGGAGGTAGTTTTTGAAGTGGAATTCTTCAGAATGGAAGTATAGAGACTTTCCAAGGGCTGAATAATTTCTGCGTACTGAAAATCATATTGAATTTTCTTACAACGTCATATATATTGACAGACTGACATAACGGCGATAAAGAGCAAATTGAAAAAAAAAGCGAAACATCAGCAAAAATCTTGTTCTACAGAGACCTCCATACTACCCGTTAAAGTTGATTACTTGCATAGTTTCTGGAAATTTTTAAAGTAGCTTACACGGATTATAAATTTGCACAAATGGCCTTCTTTTACTTGTTGGTGATGTAATATTTTCTAAAAATTTTGGGAATAATCTCATTGTCCTCGTAAGAAGTTGATCGTCGAATAAATATGATAGAATAAATTTCAGATCCGTCGTACTTCGATAAACGCTTCTTCGACGAGTTCCTGCCGACGTATCTGCGTCTGCAGTAGAGTGCGGCGCGAGTCGCGCACGCTCTCCGTACGTTGTCCATACGCATACTCGTTCGGGTCTCTTAGCCGCGGGTTTCCCCTGCGCGATGCCGCCCAGTGGTTTAGTGTCCAGATAGTGATCCAGGTAGCCATTATATCCGCATTCTCCGCTTTGAGTTTTCTGTCGCTTTCTGCCCCTTGTTAGCCCCCGTCCCCGTACTGTATTATACACTCACACCTACCCACACCATCACCGCCACGCCACCTACACCACGTACGTTGTTCGGCATAGGGCTGCTGGTCAGGCCGGATCGCCCCTAGGGGCGCGATGGCGAACACTACTCACCCACCATTTCTCTCGCTCACTCTTTCCCACTCTCTGCTTAGGCTGGTTAGCTCTTCTTCACTCCAGTTAGCTTCTTAGTCGAATCGTGCTATCCCCGCTCCTCTACAGGTTGTTCGATGTGCAATCATAGTGCTGTCGTGTGCAATCGCGAACCACTGAGACGTGATTCTTGTCTGTATTTATACTTTGTGTCGCGCGAGCCAACGTGGCTCGCATTCTTAACTTATTGTATCGAATTGTTACGTTGTATGCACCAATTGTGATGTGTCCGAGAAATAAATTTGTAAACAATCTGCGATTATACATCATAACTACGAAATGCAAGATCTGGCTATCAGTGATAACTCTTTTTTGTTGGTCGGCTCTCTCGCTACGTCTCGAACATTTGAAAGGGATAACGAGAGAATAAATCAAGTATAGTTTGCGCTGATGTGATGTGTAAACTCCGCAGAAATTTATTGTCGGTTCCTCGTATGGCAGATAAGAAATGCCCGATACAGACCGTTTTTTGCAGAACACGCTTTGCAAAGAAAGTTCATTACAATCAACATTCGACAATTTAGAATACAGAATGATATAAAGACGAAAAAATCCAATGAGTACGTGATGAGTTAGAAAAGAACTTGAATTGGACAATCGTGAGGCTTCAAACTCGATTAGAATTATGCCAGAGCCGTTGCTAGAGCTTCAAACCCAGCCTTCTGGTGGATTCCATCCATATCTCGTAATCATTTGATTGGTCATATGGATGAATTCGCGCTGAGCTTCAATTTTCGTCTTTCCGGCCAACAACTTCCATTCTTCAGCGCATTTTAGCGAGTTGTTTCCATCTAAAAAAGGAAACATTATTTAGCTCATTGATTCAACACACTATCCCCATAAACAAAACAAAAAGTCCGCAGTTTTCAGAAGAACATAAAACTTCAACTTTAGCTCCTAGAAATTCATATTCAAGGGCAAGCATGCTAGAACAGTCTTCGTTTTTTATGCACTATTTTTAAAAGTTTTTTCAACATTCCACTGGAAAAAAATTATTAAATCATTGGTCGCTATCAGGTTAACCCAATCCGAGGTCAACCAAGTCACACGCAGGCCTTAATTTCATCCCAGTAATCTCGTTTTTTGTAAAACGTCAATCTGCGGCTAGATATTAGTAAAACTACGAAAACTGCAATGTAATCGATTTTCCAATTGTATTTAGTTTGGGTTTCCGAACCAAAATTTCTTGTAGCTCCATTTTAACAGAATAGGAGTAAAGATGAATCAGAGTACAAGAAGAGGTCATAAGAAGTCTTTCAATACCAGAACACGCGTTACCTTATTATGGATGTCAATCATTAGAAAGTCCCAGGTGATGCCAACTGCTTTTTCCAAAATTTAAACAGGTCGCAATATTTAGAAAATCTCAGCTCTAATGATGGTGGTATGTTTTCAACTGAACCAAAATGGCCAACGCTGACATTTTTGCATTTAACAGTTACATCTAAGTAAAACGGAACATTGGAAGTTCGGACCAGGGCTCGGCTCAGGTGGCTCGGTAAGCAAGCTAGATATCGTTTTTGGGACAAAAAGCGAAGGGGGTTTCGTTTTTGTGGCCGAAAAGACACAAAATTTGCGATGTTCTTTTTTGGTCGACGTTTCGTTTTTTGGGGATTTTTTAGGATTATCGTCTAAGTTCAAAGGGGACTTCGTAAAATTTTGGGAAGGTCAAGGGGGACTTCTTTTGCATTTTCCAAAGCCACCTCGTGCCGAGCCCTCGTTCGAACTTTGCCAATAAGATCTGGATAAACATTTCGAGGCGGCAAACAACCTCTTAGTTGTACAAATGCATTCGCACGAATTGTAGTGCGTGGTTAACTTTCGAAAAGCAAGGAAGCGAAAGACCGATTTTTCTGTTAGTTAGCAACCCGGAAATTACCATACTGTATGACTTTGAAAGATAGCTAGCTATGTGGTGTAGCTGATTGTATTTTCAGGCCATTGCTTGAATGGGACCTCTACTGCAAATATAACCGAAATTTTCACGAAACTTTTGTTAGTCAAAATCATGCTTTTGTCCTTTAGCCTTCATCGTCTCATACTGCAACACTTTGCACCTATAAAACGCCAAATATAGGACTTGTTGATCAAGTAACATTGATAACAACCAGTCTTGCGCTTCTTTAAATACAATACCGCTCATTTGTTAAAAAAAATTCGATCCCGTGAATTCACCAAAACTCTCCAGAAGTTCACTGCAATCCGGTAGCATCGACATATCTTGATTCAGAATGGACGAATCCTGAATTTACGGGTACAGTTCAACTCAGTCAGGCGAGGCTATCTTCTCATATTCAAAAAGCCCGTTTGGATACAGTAAGCCGTCAGATTTCATAGATTTTTGCCTGCGGTAGATTATCACTGTGCAATGAATAAGCACACTTAGCCACCTACCGTAAGCAGAAATCTGAAAAGATTCGTGAGATTTGACTGTTAGGTGCACCTACCGTACCTAAACGGACTCCCATACTGAAAGATACTCTCCACCGAGCTGATTTGAAGGTGCCCTTGGACTAAGAATTCTTCTACTCTGAACCAAGGTATGCGACGCGGATTTCGGTGAACTGCAGTAGAGCTCGGTGACTTTTTCGATGATTTGTGAACGGTGCTATACACCCGAAAATCACTAGGATTATTGGGGTCAGACAAGCATTAAACGTAAACATGTCATTCATCATGTCAGTAGCATTTCCAAAGCCATAACAAGCACGAAGTTCAGAATAACATGTGTTCAAGTAGTGGTCACATGGTCTAGACAATCTGGTATGCATACTAAGGTCGCCCCACTTTGTACCAGGACGACCCACCACGATTAACTATGTTCTAATTTCTGTGCCAAGATTTGAGTTGACAGTCTGTTATGTAGGAAGTCATCAAATCAAGATTTGTATTGATAAAGGAAGGGGGAGAAGAGCTGGAAGGGCGGATTACGGTAATCACGAAATAGATTGCTGAGGCCATATCACCTCAGTTTGAAACACCCAACGCATCCTAGCCGAATATATTTAGAAGCTTCGCTCAACTTAAAATCGCAAAAATTGCTTGTTACAATAAAAAAAAGCTTTATGAGCTCCTAGCAGTTCAACCGTTGTGCTTTTTCAAAAGTTCCATCCGCGATTTTCGGCCTTAAGCCGCGAAATCTACCAAAATCAGCAAATAGTTAAGCACTTTTCAAACTTTGGCTGTTCATCATTTCATCCTCATTTGCTACATGTAAAGGCTAGAGAGCATCTATGACATCCTCCTAAAATGCCAATAGCCTTACTAACCAAAGATCTTGGGCTTCTCGGAAATAATGCCGTTTTGTGGTCTCAGAATCCTATTGAAGCTACACATGCTGACCAAAATGCACCGTTAGACTGAAAAATCAAAGGTTGAAAACCCAATTTGAGCATCTTCCACAACTTCCTTTTTATTGAAAGTAGACGATGAAGGCATCCAAAAGTTCAACGAAGCATTAGCAATTCTATTGAAGATTTGTGTCATTCAACTAGAAAGAACCAGTTGGATGGTGGATGAATAGCAAGGTCGGCTTTGGAAAGACGAAGATTGAGATAAAATTCTTCGCTATTATCAAAAAGTCGGCTAGAATGCGCTCGAACTCGAAAAGCTGGAAATTGAGCGAAAGTTTTTGTGGATATATCCTTCAATTTGCGAACGAGAACCTGTTGAAGGTGGACGTCATCAACAAGTTGGAATAATCAGCAGAAGCAATTCAAATTCTCTATCTGGCTTTGGGGTTCTTTACCTTTTATTTGACTTACGATTAGTGTGCTAACAAGGGAAGGATACTTGGTGATAGTAGCCATTTATGACGATGTACACATCGTTAGTTGCGCCCTTAACTACTGGTTCAAAATTTGTTGTCCATATCTGCGAAACGATTATCTAGCCAGAGTTATAATTTTTCAAGAAAAAATGGACTATTATGAAGGCACAGAATCATTGACGCAAGTTTTCGCCTTTTTCCCTGCTAAATTTGGATTACTTAGTTTACGCACAATACAATACTGCTCACAGAATGTGCAAAATTTCCATGAATGTCGCGAAATTCCGGGAATTCCGCGGAATTTCGCGACATTCACGGAAATTTTGCACATTCTGTGAGCGGTATCGTAGTTTTCTGCCCAAGATTTTGTTCCGTAGCATCAAGCAGTAAATCAAACCGATACTTAATTTCATCTATACGGGAATGTTCAAATTTTTTTCAAAAAAAGTTCATATCTTCCTCCAGAGAACCATTTCGAGATAGCGAAAGCAGATTTGAATTAGGGTCTCGAGATGCATCTTGCGGTATACGCCCCATCTAGAATGGCCACGGCCACTAAGTATCATCCCCTTGTAAGAAAGGTATTTTGAGGCTACCCAGTTAGGCTAGTTCTGAGTAACAGAGCTTAACAAGTACGAGACGATAGCAGCTTGAAGCATTTTATGAGTTGGATAAAAACATAAGCATTGTGTCCTTCCGGTTCAAGTAATTCATGAGATTTTAGTGGACTTCTTGGGAGGGTCTAGATTTTCCACTGAAGGCTCTATAAAGTTTGTGATCATTTTGAGAGCGCATTGGGAACTTTCTTTACGCTAAACTCTTACTATTATTTGATATTCAATTGCCCTACTTCGCTGCTGAAAGGCAAAGACCCCAAATTGCCTTCAAAGGCACTGATGCTCCCTTATCCATGTGGAAGATAAAAGAGAAAAATGAGATAACTCGATGAGTAAGAACGGTCGAAGTGCTGTTACGGAGCTGCCCTCATATTGTTCTGATCTAATTCGTGTCCGAAAAGATGGGAATAACACCAATGGTTGCCGAAGTTTCCAGAATTTTTCAAGAAACAAAAAAATAAGACCTATGTTCCGACATGAAAGTTTTTCCATACGAACTGGATTGTGACCGTGAGCGTAATTGGGCACTTCTTGCACTCAGGCATCCCATTTTTTAGAAGACTGCCGTAAGCGCTTAGTGGTGCTGAATCTCTATTTCTGCGCATATCAGAAAGCCAAGTTCGTCTGTATTTGCACCCACTCCGAGGTTGAAGGCCCAAGTGCTGAGTTCTGCGACTAACTTGCCATAATCGAAGTTTGGATCTTGTCACATGTCAAGTAAGGGTGCTTATTTTGCAGCTAAGAACTTTTTTTTTTTGAGCATAAAACGGCAGCGCAGTCACTGCAGCTTTTTGGAACTTCAAATAACACATTCACCACCTACTTTTACCGATTCGGCCAAATGTGGCTAAACAAGGATGTGGTCGCTGACCAATGTTCCCGAGCACCTACCGTAATCTCCAGTGGTGGCTTGCATGTAGAGAGCATCGAGTTTTATCTTATCTTCTTCTGGAACGTCATGATGGCCATATTGGCCTTTATAGCCGGCTCGGCTCATCTTGTCGACGGCATTGGCAAAGTCCTGGAATGACAGTTGTGGCCGCTGTTGACTCGGCATCACTTTGTCGTTGTTTATTCGGTTTACCGCTAGTCAAGACAAGATGAAAAGACAATATTTGTTGAGCAAGCAAATTGCCGCTGACCTTTGTGGTCAGGTCAAGCGCTCGCGCATCAACTGGGAAACTATCCTTCTGCGGGAAAATAAAACAAAAAAGGGAAGGGTTGAGGACTCAACTTATCCCTCCATAGGTCACGATCGTCTTGTGCTCTCCTTTCCCAATAAGCTTTGAACTCGCGGGCTCTTTGCTCAGCTTCAGCATACTCAAGTTTCCATTTGATGTAGCTAAAAAGACCAACTAAGATCGAATCCTACAGATCTGGTTGCTTCCTTACTTCTGGTGATGTCTATAAGCCTCGTCCTCCTTTTTCTTTGCAAACTTCTGCTGTATTCTTTCCATCGCATCGCTCATCGTGAAAGTGAAAATCCTCGCACATGAGCAAAGTTCGAAAAACGTTAAATTGAGATCAACTGGAAAGATGTGATTGAGAGTGAGGATTTTCAGCTTATTCCGTTGCTCTAAAACTTTTTGGAGCTATAGAACGCTGTTCCGATTAATCCTTCCCGAGAATGAGATAATCACAGGGGCAAAGATTTCTTGCTAAAAGCTAGAATAGTTGACTTCCAGGAAGTTATGACTAGCAAAGGGAAGCCAGGGGATTCGTTCGATGAAACCAAAAATATCAAATGAATAAGGACATAAAAATTCGATAAATGCAGAAAAATGAAAATGCGAGCTGAGCTGAGCGAAAATATGAGCTCAAGTTGGATCACTAAAAATTCTTTCCAGAACCACACTATATCAGTTATAGTCTGTTATAAAGGATCAAATCATAGTGATCTTGGATGAAAAAACAAAATTAGTGAAACCGTAAGTCTTGCGAAAATCAAAAGGAGTTATATTATTCAGCTTCAACGAAATCACGTCATTTTCAGCTTTTTTTTCACATCAAATGTTACTGAACCCGATTTTTGGTCTTCAAGTTTGAGGTCATTATATGTTGAGATTTTGGCTTTCGTGTGCTTTGGAACATAATTTTCAGAGGTAATAAATCCAGCAAGTGTAAACTGCGATAAAGTGAGTATAAAATGTTAGAATGTTGAACATTCTAAGGCATTTCGCAAGAATTTTTTAGTGAAAAACTATGCGGCACCCGAATGATACAAATGCAAAGGATTGCCGGGGAAATTTTTGTATTTTTGTCTCAGGTAAATTTTTGAAAAAAAATTTTCTGAATTAGGTGAAAATAAGATTTTGCTCAACCTACCCTCTAATCTTCCTATACGTAGCCTATATTAGGGACTCTAGGTGCAGAAAATCCAGTTACTTTTCCAGTTCAAGCTGCAGTCTCTAATCTATGATGTATGTAGAAGAACCTTTCAGAATATCATTCAGCATCAAAGATGAGTGACTAACAAGAACTAACTCTTACTCACGTAATTCTGCACAACTGCAGTGTCTTTTTATACTTGTTAGCTTATAATGCCAAGGATTACTTAGTAAACCTCAACTAAATCTGTGAATCTTGAGCTGCAGATTCCAAACGGGTAATTTGACTTTGCAAGTCCTTCAACCTGATTATTCGCCAAATTGATCTAGTTCAAGTTGAATTTTACAGCGTGAAACCCAGTATGCTGCAAGACCGATGATCACACTAGATGATAACATTGCCGTCGCTTCGATATCAGATCATATAGTTTTCGACATTGAATTCTTTGAGATGGTATGTGATCGCATGACAGCCCTTTGGTGGGCGAAGCCCTAATTTGTGCCGAAATTTTAAAAAGTCCACATTCCTACCACTTTTAGTGGGAAAATCAAACTATCTCAAGAAATTTGGCCTGAAGATAATATAATGACGCGCAAACGTTCAATAGTAGCAGTCTTAGAAGGCCCGAAATATGAAAGAGTGAACGGAAAAAGTAGAGAAGACAAAAGCAGAAAACGATTTGGATTGTTGGAAGTTAGAAAAAACTTCGATTCAAATTTCTAGGCCCAAGATAGGTTTTTGAGAAGAGAAAAATAGGCCTGAAGAATCACTAAGGTAAGTGATGCCGAGCATTTTTGGATATAAAACGTTTAGGGTGTGGGGCGTTAGGCGACAAACCCAAATTTTTGGACCCCAAAAAACTCCCCGTGCAAAACGTCTCCTCCGCCAAAAACAGGGGGGGGGGGGGGTGGGGGTCGGGGCCGATACATAACCCGAAGTCAATGAAAAAAATGGTGCATAGTTTTGAGTTACGGGATTTACGTTGCTTGCTTTTTTCACGTTTTGTCGTCTAACGCTTGCCCTCCAAACATTTATACCAAATCAGTTAATTACATACCAATGTTAGCAGGTGTAACACGTTAAAAAAAAAACTCCATATTCTGATTTTTGTGACTATCGTGGTGTGAACTCAGGTGTTCTAGTCCATTTACGGTGTTATGTGTAGCTAATGTACACATAAGAAAACTCCCTTCCCTGTTCACTGATCACATCGGCCAAATGTGATATACAGATTGTCCCAAAAGTATGTATACACTGTTTGATCGTTGATATCTCTCTTCCGTAGAATTCTTCCGCATTCCTGCAGGTACCATTTTGTAGAGCTGGCTTCAACTTAGATTTATAGCAAGGAGCGAATCACCGACCTTTCCTCATTACTCTAGGATTATGGTAGGAAATTCGAGAAGGGTTCTAAGGCATTGAGTGCCCTATTTCGCCTCAGAGAGCAAACCGAACAACCTGGAAACTCTTATAATAGGCTATTTAGAGTCGCTAAAACAAAATACAAACTTTGCATTTCACCACGATGCTTAATAACTTATGCCAGATAAACCGCAATAGCTGTCCATACAATGCTTCAAATTGTGAATACACCATTTAGAAAGCTTTACAAACTCTTGAAAAATTGAGTAATGAAATCAGCGTGCGTAAATTACCTGATACTCCATTTTTCAGAATTTTTGGAGACTTCTTTCGAAACATGATCAATCTACGATGACGCTGTAGACCAAATATTCCTACCGTTATCTTACAGTGATGAAGGAGGATCGGTAGTTTGCTCCGTACTTTAAGTCTAAGTTAAAGCCAGCTCTACAAACTGGTACCTGAAGTTAGGCAAAAGACTTTTTGGGAAGAGAGATATCAACGATCAAACAGTTATACATACTTTTGGGGTTGTGGTTAACAGTGTATACATACAAACACCCTGTATTCTGTCTAATTACAAGTCCGCAATTTGCACTTATACCTTTTCCAAGAAAAAAAAACCATAAGAACAGAATGGAATTAGGAGGTACCCAAAACAGCCTCGCGTACGGATTTTTTTTTCTCTTCCGGGCCACACCCATGAAGAAATGTCTTGAAAATGTCAACGGTTTCGTGGAATACCTCAAAAGATACAGCGCGAGCGATTTCTGTTGCCATCTCCATTTATCATTCCCCGACATCCACGAGAAGTACAAATTCACTTCCTTGTTACAAGGATTGATGTTGGTTTTGATAAGCATGTCATGAATAACATGAACATCAGAAGTCAGAAGTCTTTTAGCATATTTAATATTTAACAATTCCTAGTGCCACCAATTTTTATGGGGGAGACTAGAATTTCTGAAGAAAAATGCCAACCGAATCGTCTTTCAGTATCTCGTAGAGACTCTAAGAAGCAAGAAACTTAGCAAAAAGATTTTCAGCTCGCTCATATACTCACTTCATTGTGTTCTCGCAATATCTGGGGTACGGTAACGCGCTGTAGGGGTCAACTTCAGATGTCTCAAATCAAGATATTCAACCACTATGCCCATCGCAATCTAATCCTATCACGATGGTGTACATACCATGGAATTTAGTACTATGTATAAGCAAGGACCCTCCTTTATCTGCTTCAATTCATATTGGAAAAGCTGACGATGCGAGCTGAATCTGGCGAAAAGTCTGAGTCACTGAACTTGGCTGTAAGGACCGCGGTTGTATCATTTGGCATCATGAAATAGCAAAAAAATTCCAAAAATAAACTGGTCGCCCTAGAGGGCACTGTTACAAGGGGATCTAACATTTTGCTACATTGTTTCAAGAAGAGAATACATTAGTTTGTAAAGAAAGTTCTGCCAATAGACCTTGAGCTAAATTGTTTTATTTATATCTTCATCATGAGTAGCTGTCATTCAGCGATAATTCGGCCATATGTACTGATAACCTTAGGCTTGATTAAGTACGTCATGGATGCTCTTTTTCAATAGCGCGCAGGCTGCGTTTTCAAAACAAGTGGCGAGTTCGATTTTTTAGCCCTTGATTTCAATGAGTTATTTCTTGTTTGCAAAAGGTCCAGGTACCGGGGCAAGTAATAGTCGGATAGCGCTTCATCTAGCCAATATAGAGGGTATAAAATGGATTTTCAAATAAAGCTTTGGGAACTTCTGCGCATCCATATTCTGAAAAGTGTGCCTTTTCGCAGACCTAAGCGCAACGGGTTTTTCTCCTTTTTTATTTTTTTCCTAGTGATCATCATTTTTCGAAATGAATAGCATGTTGGGTAGCTGGGGCCATCGCACACTAAGAACACAACTCAAACCATCCCCTTGCTTTCACATTCATTTTTGGTAATTATGAAAAGAATTGGCAGAACTTTCTTTACGACCTAATACAGTGCTGGACATAATTATAGAGACACTTTAGAAATCGTCGTAATTTTCATTCTTCTCAACGAATCTGTCTGAAACTTTGCTGTATGGTGCGCATGTAAGCCTACCATAACTCCTCAGAACGGCTTCCAATCCCGTTGATTTCGAACGGAGAAAAATGGAAAAATTCGAAAAAGCCTGTTTTTCAAGCTGGACATAATTATAAGGACACCTGGCCTTTTTAAACATTATCGCATTCCTTGACTCCCAAATTTTTTTGTAAAGTTACATCCCAGAATATGAAACTTTTGCAGCACCTAGGACCTGTCATGCTACTCAAGGAAAGATGATCGTTGCATTTTTCGTTTCCAAAGGCATCAGAAGTCAAACGCGTCAACAAACAGCTGGTTTGAGGAGTTTTCAAGCTCGCGTTCATTTCAAATGACAGCCCTAGAATACACTTAGCCTTTTTGATAGATAAGGTAAGAGCGCTTTCGTAAACTCCGCGTAATCGCTGATATTGACAATCAGACTCCAACCTCACCATAGGGTTGTCGCGCTTTTGCGCTACAAAACTCGATTTCCAATGTTCGTGAAGTGATGGACTCGATTTATTACATTGTCTACATGGAAATGCATCTTTTGCAACAACTTTTAGATTTTTTCTAGTGCTGCAGTTGCCATTTAGATCTGAAATACTTTCAACGAAAATTTTAGAGCAGTAGATTCAACATAATCACAAATCTCACTACTTTATTCTCTGTTTCATGTCGCATTTTGCGCGGTAGCTGAGATTAGCAAGATTT